CTGTAGTAGGCCAGATTAGTTTAACTGGTGCAGCAGTGCCAGTAAGCTTTCTGTAAAGCAGTCGTTAGTCTGTCTTTCTGCGTCTTGCTTTCATGTGGCTGTCCTCAAAACATTTGGGAAGATCTGCTTGAAAAAATATCATAAAACACACAACTGCAGAATTTCTCAAAGAAAAGTGGTTTGTGTGTCCTGAGAACATGGTTAACATTTCTTACAATGGACATTGTACAAAATGGCAAAAAGTAATATTGTGTTACTTTTTGACTAACATAATCTCCTTTTTCTTATTCTTATGGCGATGGTGATTGCTATAATTATTAGCAATAGTTTATGTAGATATAAAAGACTTAAAATAAGGTCTCCCCCTGATTACAGTTGCCATGTTCTTTTCCATTACCCACACGGTTACTATTGTGGTTACAGTATATGGTGTAATCTTGAGGCTGCGGTTATTTCAAAACATAGAACTTGACATTTTCAGGACTTACACTTGCCTTACACTTAATTTCATCAGCATTCTATCTTCATTAATCAGAGATGTATTTACTCCGCTCTGGTGGAGCAGTAGTGATCAGAGCACCAGTCACAGTAAACGGGCAGTGCATCGTGGTAGACTGTCAGCAGGAAAGCAAGCTTAGCGTAACAGTGGCCAACAACAAGGTTTGCATGAGGACCATCACACCATATAAAGAGGTGCTTTACTTCAAAGTCTTCAGGGCTGAATTTGGCACAGAGCCCCGTGAAAGGCATGTTAATTCACAAGGCAGCACAGTCTCAGCTTCCAAGAGGACGATGCTCGGGTGCCATCACTCCTGCTGCAGAAATTAGATTTGAAAAATCTGAAATGTGACAGAGACATTGCTACTGTATACTTATTGTCAGTGCATCACCCCAAACAAAGTTTGCAGTACAGATTCGATTAAGATATACTGTACGCCGTTGTGAGAGGTGTACAGTATGGCACCAGAGGAACCCAGAGCTGTCTTCTCCCTTTTAAACCTCATGTGAGGTCTATTTCTGTTTAACCAAAACAAGCAAAGAGTAAGAACAGTAGATGTTGTGCACAACCAAAGACAAGTATGCCCACCACTTACAGAAACTCAAAAAGAAGCGAAGAAAGACTGGTAAAAATCTGGTAGATCAAGTCTGTGTCTATACATTGTAGGAAGACTAGAGGCCTTTTTTGTGAATAACATTTGTATTTAATTTTTCTAACAAAGATTGATAAACAAAAACCATATACCAACAACCGTCAACACTAAAAGCAACATTACGGTTTACAATTGTATGCAAAACTCAAGAAATGCTACTTCAAAACATATGAATATAAAATACACTATATGTGTATTTGCTATTCTAAGAAACGAACATAATTCTAATAGTTGTGGATGTCCCATCCCAAAGTTGGATTTTATATAGAACTTGCCACCCATCTGTTTTTGAGTGTATGTTTCCACCCTGGCTTGCTTTGCTGTTAGGTCAGGCCACTGAAATGTAAGCGGCATTGTCTAGTTTCACCTGCTGGGAAAACTCCCAGTTCTGAGTGCTGCAGGGGAGAGACGCGAGAGCTCTGGACGTTTAGTAACGGCAGCAGCTGGTTTGAGGTGCAAAACTTGAAATCGAGTTGCTTGTCAAAATATGTGTTGCGTTATAGCAAAGAATTTAACTTGTGTAGAAGTGAAGTTACATGGGTGAAGGCACCTCTGAAGTTAAAATAAATGTGACTGGATTATCTTCCATTACTAACAGCTGCCAGGGCGTACTTTTATTTTCACAAAATGTTTTGAAAGCAGATTTTGATTTAAAGTTAAGCTCAAGTATAACATGCTTTCTTTTTTTTAAATAACACTAAACCTTTAAATACAGTATATTTTCATCTTCTGTAGGTAATGTTTTTAAACATTAAAACGTACCTAAAACAATGACAATCTAATTCATTTAATAATAGGATAATTACCTCCTACTGCGTTGGAAGTATAATTTAATCTATATTCTATGATATGTATTCTGTCCAATACCACAGTCTTTCCATATTTCCCCTCACAAGTTGTCATATTAGAAGCTTTTAGTGATTTTGTTCTGGGTAATCAGTCATTCATTTCTGAATATTTTTGGTTTGACCATCAAACATCTTTTCCATATTTTTTGCTGACATTATACTGGTGGACTTTTATCGCTCAACACATTAAAACCTAAACCAGATTTCTATATGTAACACATAAATAAACTTCTCCATGATTTTTTGATCACTAACACAAGACTTTATTTTTAACCCAGAGTTTAGTTTATTTTGAGAATCCTTTAAACCACCAGACATCTGAGGCTGTTTTGTACTCGTTTTAGAAGTCGTATTTTCAGAAGCAAAGAAAAGAAAGAAGCATGTTTTCTTTCGCTCTGGTTTGTTTTCCAGTCACTTTAAAAATGAATTGTTGGGATCATGGCTTGGCAGCAGATGGTGTTGTGGATTAATGTGCCATCCTTTCTGCCTTTCTGCAGGGGATCAGAGTTTTATGGCCAAGAATGGAAGGAATAAAAACGCTCTCTGATCACTCCCAGTTACTTCTGTGTTTGACACAGTTACAAAGGACAGTTTAGTACATAATACCAACTATATAATGATTACACCGTGAATAATATTGTGTTGACAGTTTTTTACTTTTACATTATATTTCAGTTTTCACATACAGAGCACTTCAAAATTAATTAATTTGACAAAGCCACTACTGAAGTAGGATGTGTTCCACAGCCTTAAAGCTGTATACTTGAATCCAGGCTGCAGCATCGTCTGGCTGTTGCTGGGATTGGCTTAGATTGGCACTGCATCCTTGCTGCTCAGCAGTGACTCCTCATAGCTGCCTGGCTGTGAGACTATATCGGCGGTGTCTGTCCTTTGATTGTCAATTGTGTTTTTGACTAGATATCTACTATCCAGTGTGCCATTTTTATAGTTTGTTTATATGGTATAAAACAGGGATTTGGTAACCTCTTGAAAGTGACACGCCAAGATAATTGTTTAACACCAGTAATAGTCTTACATACACTTTAGCAGTCTCATGAATTAATATTCAGATCTTACCATTTAGGGTGATCCTTTCCTTTGCTGATTTTAAATGTTAAAATATCTTTTCACAGAAGTATTTAGATCCAAATATTGAGAGCAGCGAATCTTCAAATAGTCAGATTTTACAGTCGGGGAATTCTGACATGTCACGATAGGGACCCTGTGATCTATATTGGTATCCTGGGGCATCACAGATCACCAAACTTTGAAGCCCATATGTCTGATCATTGTAATTCAGTGAGCTGCGTTTTGAAATCTTTGACACCCATTCAGTGAAACACTGTCAAATACACATCCGTAGTAACAGCATTGTCTGGTTTGATAGGAAAACGTTGGGCCAAAATGCTGGAAATCCTAAAATCTGACAGAAAAGTCTGATGTGCATTCTTGGATGTTCATTACAATCTCAGCAACACTGTTTGTGCAGTGTTTTGAAATTTCTTGAAGAACAGAAAATTGGGGTATCCATGTCCACCCCAAAATTATAAGTTTCACAAGAAATGCCTTCCATTTTTCAAAATGACTGATGGGAGTTTGGTTTGCACCCTGCAGGCGATAGTAGAGTTCATTTAAGATGTGAGTTGACGTAAGAAACATCCACTTGATCTTTTTCTGACAAAAATGTCTTGATTGCAAAACAATCCACAAAATGCTAAAACCATTCTACTGCTTAGCCAGCAAACATTGACAGAATGTCCTTATATGGACTGTCCATCTTCTCAAGCAGTTTGAAACCCTCTGTGTATCAAGGCAAATCCAGCAGCAAGAAAATTCACCACTGCGGTCTTCACGTTATTGAGCTCAAAATTCGAAACCTTGGCACAAAGATTTTCTTGAAGAATAATACAATACAAATTTACCACTGGGTGGCCAGTTCGATCCTTAATGATCTTTGCACAATCCTTCTGGTTTCTGACCATAACAGTGTCAGTTGTCACAAAATATTTTTTTGTTATGTCAGTTACTCTTTCCTAAAAATGATTAACAAACATCTTTGCTGTTTATTCTCCTGTTGTGCCAATCAAATCATGCCAATCAAAGTGGAAGGCTGGCCTAGTTAAAATTATGTGCTAAACAAACCGATAGAATAATTTTGCTTTCTGTGTCAAAGAGCCTTCGTTGGGTAACGTCATTAGCTAATAGATTGATAAAGCAGTCAAGCATGGCATGTAGTGTTATTTCTACATAGTTTCTTCACAGTTAATTATACTATTTCTTGGCGTGTGCCAATCAAAATCATCTTGCGTTACACTAATGGCGCCTGTGATGTACTTTGCAGACCCCTGATCAAAGAAGACATAGACAATGTGTCCATCTAAGTATTTTTCATAAGCAGCTTCTTCAAATCCGGTGTTTCCTGTTTCATATTTTTTACTTGGATTCCACTTAACTAATTAATGTTGAATTTCTATTGCAGTTTCTACAATATTTGCTACAATATTTGCTTATATTAAATTAATATTTTCTAACCGTTTCAGGTTCATTTTGTGAACGTGACTGGTTAACTAACAATCCCACCCACATATTAATTCCTCTTTAATACCCTCCCTCAAATCGGACAAGTTAAAGTAAAGAAACAATCGTTACTTCCATAACTTTGAGGGGGAAGAGGAAACACAAGGAGAAAGGAAAGGAGAAAGGACACTTCTCAAAGATAGATACTCCAAGCTGTATCTGAGTTAGATTGGTACTGTATATAATCAAAGGGTGGTGATTGATATCCTGAACATTAAAAAAATAAAATCATAAAAGGATGTGTGAACTATAGTATAATAAAATAAATAAAAAAGACAAGAAGACACTGAAATGATAAAAAAACAACATTTCTTAGTTTACCAAAGCTTTGTAATCACCCAGTAATCTGAATTGAAGTAGGAGGCGTAGCAATTATCTCTGTCTCTTTCTCAGACTGTGCATTCCCCTTTTTCTCTCATTGCAGTCATCAGTAATGTCTGTCGGGTTTGCGCGATTTCATCCCAACCTGGTGGTGGGGGGCACTTACTCTGGGCAGATAGTGCTGTGGGATAATCGCAGTCACAGGAGGACCCCAGTGCAGAGAACACCCTTGTCAGCTGCTGCTCACACTGTAAGAGAACAGAAGACTCATTCTTCATTGATAATGGGCACACATACCACTGCAGAAACTACGCTAAATTAGATGTGCATGTCTGCAATTATGTGCTTTTGCAACCTTATAGAATACCGTATGTGCAACTGTTTGCTTTTATTCCCATAGCTATAACAATGAAAGACTATCTGCAAGACTGTGCTTTGCTATATTGCGTATACAAGAACCGTTACTTGCTAATATGATCACATAATGAATAATAGAAGTAACTATTTATCCAGGGCTCAGTTTGAGTTCTGCATTTCAGGAAATGTTATTTGGACGTTCTTAGCAAGTCAGATGAATGTGAGAGACTGAATATGTGTATGCTGTATCAGAACACGTTTGGATGTGATTTTGTGTTTACTTCCCAAGCACCCAGTGTATTGTGTGAATGTGGTGGGAACCCAGAACGCCAACAATCTGATCACAGTTTCCACAGATGGTAAGATGTGTTCCTGGAGCCTGGACATGCTCTCACAGCCCCAGGTTAGTTATTCATCTCCATTTTGTAGGTTTGGCAACAATTTTTTTTTTGTTTTACCTTACATGATTAGAATAAAGAGATCTTTTTTAATGTTACATAATCTCTAAGAAAATCTACCCACATCTTCACACTGCTCTTATTTTGCAATGATTATATGCAATTTGTGTAATTTAGAAGAGTATGATTAGTTTAATGTGCTTTTGTGGTATTACTAAAAGTCTTGACTTTTACGTTGTATGAGATGCTGTGGGAACTGTGCTTTATTGTAAAGTAACAGGGGGGCACTGTATCAGCAGACACGACGCCTGGCAAGGTAAAAGAACTGAAGGATAGATCTTTTTCCTTTTTTAGTGTGACAAACATCAAACTAAGGATACATAACATAATACCCAAGATTCAGGCAGAATGCACAAAATGAGCAAATGTAGAAGAGGGTCTTGGCAAGGTGTTTGTTTCAGCTGTCTTAAAGGTGTGGGTACGGCTCAAAAGCATTGATTGTTTTTTGGGGTGTAAATGTTATCAGGAAAGCATGGAGCTGGTGTACAACAAGTCTAAGCCCGTGGCGGTGACTGGCATGGCCTTTCCAACAGGAGATGTGAACAACTTTGTAGTGGGGAGTGAAGAGGGCACAGTTTATACTGCTTCTCGACATGGCAGGTGAGTGGCACACACCAGGTAGACCGAGAGTCTGCTGCATACTCCAAATGGCACTTAAACAAACATTCGGGATGGTGGGTATGATAAAGCAATGCAGTATTCTCTTGCTCTTAAAAAATGAGCAGACAGTTGTAGATACATATTAAAAAGTATCACAACTTGTTTTTTTCAGCTAACCCACTGTGAGTAGTTGTGTTGTGTTTTGTCTTAGTGAGGTACAGTATGCAAGTCGGTAGGAGCCTGTTTGAAACAAATAATAAAAATAATGCAAAATAAGTTGCATTAGGTTTAACACTTGCACATTCCTGGTTGTCTCCCTGTAACTCACATTACAGAAGCAGACATCTGTATATTAAACCAAATCTTTATTGATTAAAAACTGCCACACTGTATATACAGGGTAAAAAATGGCGATGGGATACAATGTCTTTTTTACAGCTGAAAAAGGACCAGCTTGTTTGCCTTTTTTGTTTTCAGTAAGGCTGGCATTGGGGAGATGTTCGAAGGTCACCAGGGCCCTGTGACTGGCATCAGTTGTCACAATGCGGTTGGCCCAATTGATTTCTCACACCTCTTCGTAACGTCATCCTTTGACTGGACCGTCAAGCTTTGGACCACAAAGGTAAGAGAAGCAGTTGAGGTAATATTGCTGATATTTAAAAGTAAAGAGTTAAAAAAATGCACATGGTAACCTCATCAAGATCTATCAGGTTTGCTGCATCTGAAAACCAAAGACACTTGTGGCAGATGTGGCTGAATAGTCCTCTAAGTTGCCTAATGAAATAAGTTATTTCCTAAAATATACCTCAGTTTATTTTATCTGGCACTATTAAAAGAGTGGTGATCAAACTACTGTATTAATTTTCTACTTTTCTTATTTTGAAATCCATACTATCGATAACAAACTTGGAGAACTAGTCATTTGACAAATTCAGATTTGTTATTAATCCTCTATATTTCTTTATGAACTATATTATTTTAACAATGAAAACAGTTCAGGATTATTATCTGTATTACAGCATACTATATGTAAAGCTTGTACCCTTTGTTACTGAAGCATCAAAGGAGATTATTTATCTGTGCCACAATTAACTGGTTTGTCATGACATTGTAAAGAATAATCTCTGTATTGCACATACCCTCCCACACTGTTTTATAAATACAGGTACAGTGATATACTGTATATGCAGTATGACTGTCTCACTCTTGGTCATCTGTCACTTGCACCTGCTTGTCCTGCAGAGCCTTATCAGGATACGGTTCTGGTAAAAGTTCCTTTATGACATTAACAGAAAGTGTTCCTGCTTTTCAGGCTTTGTCAGCTCTTTTTGTCACATTAAACATAGCTTGTGGGTGTCTTTAAAATGTACTTATGTCTAATCTCTGTATGGGTGAATGATTAAAAAACACAGTCATTTGCTCCCATGAGAAAGAAGCACTGAGTAATAGTTTGGAGCGTGTATTGAACAAGGTGCGGCGTCTCCTATACTGAAGAATATAAATCACCAATCCCTGGTTAGAAACCAGCTGACGAAGAATACATACTGTACACCGTGACTTTGCATTTGTATAAATGTGTGTGGTTGGGCTGCTATTTATGAGCTGTATCCAGTGATAGAGGAAGGAAGGAGGGCTGAGTTCTTGTCAGAGGCTCAAACCACACTGAGAGGAGGGCGGGGGAGCTTGTACAGACACCACTCTCTGTTTTTGCCCTTTACCCCTGGAGACAGAGGTCTGGCTCTCTTCCACTGAAGAAAAAAAAACAACTGTGGGTTTGTTAGGGTGGATCTAGCCGGAGGTCGCGACAGAAAGCACAATCTTGTTTTCTTTCAAGATGACGATTAGAACGATACTGTCCTTGCACTCATGGCAAGGAATAAACACACTTGAATTGAATTAAACTACATTTTATAAGTATCACCCAAAACATTAAACCTGACTGCAAGGTATCTGTAAGAAAACCGATGAATGGAGTATGTTTAATCTGCTGGATATCTGTCTCTTATCACTCCATTAAACTGAATTGGGACACTTGGTGAAAGTTAGCCTGATTTTCAAAATGACGCATACTGAGAGGTTGGACACAAGCTTTTCTATCCATTTTGTGGGAGTGGCACAAGCGTATGCTAATCAAAAATAGTGTTTCTGTTTTTGTCATATTTGTGAGTTTAAATTAATTTAGACTTCTTTTTTGTATCATGCAAGAAGAGAGGAACATACCTTTACATGTTATTATTTACAACTTCTTTTGTATTGCTCTGATAATGAAAAAATTGTGTGCGCTGACAGTCTGTATTCTATAGCCAGGGACCTTTGATTCACAGAGCCTTTGATTCCTGTGAACTGACAACAGAGTAAAAGCGAACAAGATATAGAGGCAACAGTTTCTTGTCATTTGTTTTCATACACAACTTAAAATGTTTTCCTACAGTACAATGAGAGGCATTTTTGTGAAATTTTACAAGGCTATTAACGTGAATGGGAATAAATACATTATTTGAACACATGGAACGTAAATCATTCATTGTGCATTTCACTATGTAGACCGTGGCGTCTTGATTTATTAATATCCCCCATGAAAAAGCAACACAAAAACATCTAACAATGATTTGTGGATTGGGGTGGCAAGGTGGCGTAGTGGCTAGCGTTGCTGCCTGGCAGCTCTGGAATCTGGGTTCAATTCTTGTCCAGGCTCCCATAAAGCGTAGTTCAGGACCCTATGCAGATTGTATAATCCAGAAGTAAGTGGAGAAGGACATCAGGGGAGGAGACGAAGAGGATCAGGACAGGTTGACAGACGGGGGAGTGACTACGGTGATCCGGTGCTCGGAGGGCGTGGCGATGGCAAAAAAGTTCAGACAGTCCATAACCGGTTAATCCATCCAAGACGAGACAAACAAGGTTAAAATCCGGAACGGGATCCGGAACAAGGACAGGGAATAAAACCAGGGTAACGAGGCCAGCCGCTCCGAGCCCCGGACTCAGACGGTCAGGACGCCGTGGTGAAGCCTGTGCCGTCGGGTCTCTCCTGGACCCGCTGGTAGGTGGGCTTCCAGGCGTCCATCTCAGAGTGCTGAGCCAGGAATAGCCAGAGCGCCAGGCCGAAATAGTGTCGGACTAAACAGGGGGCAGGTGCACGTAATAAACTAAAATATGAAAGGGTCGGGTCGGAGCGCCCTTAAGAGGAGGGATTACGTGACAATTCCTGGGGTGCTGCTGTATCTGTACAGTACTGTATGTTGTCCCTGTGTGGCCCTGGTGTGAGAGTGTGCATGGCTGTGTGTGCCCTGTGATGGACTGGCATCGTTTTCAGGGTGTATCCTGCCTTGTGCCCATGGCTTGCCAGGATAGGCTCCAGCTCCCCTGTGACCCTTTATTGGCTAAAACAGTTACAAAATGGATGGATGGATTTATTTAATGATAAGATAATATGTTCTGCTACTGTAAAAACACATAAAAAGTCACACTGTTATGTTAGGGTGGAGGTCAGCAAAAGCCTTGTACAGAGCAAATTCTTTAAAGGGCACCTGCGGTCCCAGTTTCTCACCATCTTCCAGCTTGTGGAGGTCAATGACCATTGTGTTTAGAGCCCTCTGACTTTGAAGATGCATGTTACCGTATGTTAGCTGTATAAATGGCTGACCCTGCGCTCTGACCCCCAGCTTCTCTCCCTGTCTGTGTGTCTCATGGAGAGCAAGCTGGGGTATGCGAAGACAAATTCCTAATGCATTTTGCATAGAAGAATATATGACCCTCAATATGCAAATGTGACCCTCATTTTTTATGGACTTCAATTCATTATTTACGATCAATATAATTTTTCTTTGTGGAATGCTAGAATGATTAAAATAAAATATTGTAAAATGTGTGAAGACACACTAACCAAACCATAACTCTTTCTCCTATTCGTTTCTATTTCTCGGTTCTACTTCATTATTGAATTTGTCAGGGTGTTCTAATGCATTTTGGATTACCTGGGCAAAGAGTACATTAATACCAGAAGATGACTTCTCAAGGTTGTCTTCTTTAACCTGAAATAAAGGATGCTCAGGCTTGACAGAAGGATTGAGTAAAATCTTAGACTGACTGTCAGTAATACTTGCCAGGAATTCCCAATCCTGGCTCCGGTAAAACCACACACCTGCTTGTTTTCATTCCAGCTCAGCTCAGTGACCTAATTGAATCTTTAATTGAGCTAACAAATTGCTTGACTGGAACATTTGCAACTTTTCTCTTTTTCAAAATTCAGAAGTCTGGAATTGTATTCTGCTTAGGAAATGCAAGAGTTAAAAGGCAAACGTCAACATGATTTAGAGCTGAAAACAGTAAAACAGCTCAAATTCATCCTATTATTAAGTCAGTTAAGGGTTCCATTGTGTAACTGGGTGCTCAGCTGGGACAAGAAGCCGATGTGTCGGCTTCCAGGAACTGGATTGGGAATCCCTGGCATAGTTATCATGCATCTTTGAAGCATTGCCAAGTGGCATACATTGTGTGTAACAGCAAGGTGTCTTCTGTGTCCCACTGTCCCGATTTAGGCACAGAGTCGTAAACCCCCTAACAAACTATCAGCTCAGTAGTGCTCGGCTTCATTTTCATACTCACCCAAAAAGAATTTGCTTCCTAAGAATGAAACCACAAGAATGTAATCTTCCCTGTATCTGCAGACATGGCTTGCAGTGCAGCACACACCTTCTCTGATTGACTTCTGCTTATTTGATGTTGTCTCATTGCGTGCCAGATGTTGACATTTGCCCACCGTTCCTCAAGTTTGGAAAGTTTATACATGTATTTTTTTAATGACAAAGTTCCTTCCATTTGCCGAAACCCCGACACGCATAAAACGTCATTTAAAACTCTGCAAAACGTTGCGGCTATAAAAATATTGAGTTTGGTGTGAAATTGAAAGTCACTCTAAATGCACGAGCTTAGTTTTCAAACATTATCCAGTTAATGTTTATTTTTTGACACAGTCAAAGGTTCTGAATGTGCCAGGTTTTGCAGAAAGAGATCGCAACGAGTTACATTTGTTATGCATTACATAAAATTTATGAAAGCTATTGGAAAAGTGTATCAGCTTGTATTAAAATTTAAAAGAAAATACAATCTGAATAATACAGTAGCTTCTGTGTATGATTACAAATTTGATTCCATTCAGTAAGCGTTGCAAAAAGAAAGTCTATTTGTTTTCAAAAATATTTTTCCTGCAGCTCTCTGTATCAGGGCCAACAGAAACCTATACATACACTTGCATTCATTTGTAGCATTCCCAATCAGACTAACAATTACTTTTTGACAAATATGTACAGGCTTCTTTCATAAACATTTATTTCATAAGCAATTGTTGAATTTAGTTAGACAGTTTGAAGTCACAGAGGCAAACCATGAATAAGACAACAGCCAGAGTGTATTTTTTTACAGTTTTAAAAAGCACAGTACTAAAAAGAGGGAATTTATGTTTCTTTGTGAGATACTTCATAAAGAAAATAATTAATACCCTGAATTCTGCACTTCAGAGGGTGACGGAGTGAGTCCCCTCTTTTGTGTGATGCGCTCTGGGATGAACATTGCTCTGTAAATACAATGAATAATTTTGTTATCCAACCTAACTTTCCTTTGTCCGAGAGCAAATGGGGGAAAAAAGGAAATTGTGATGAACTAGAATTAGTGACTTTTTTGGTTTCTTTTATGAAATAATGAAGTCGCTGTCTTAGAAGAAATCTTCCATTTGTTTTTTTGGAAAAAAAGTTCTGATAGTGAAGAGGACTTCTGTAAGTTCAGCAAAACTCTTCACTCACTCGGGTACTATGACATTGATTGCCTCTCGTGTCCAAGAATAATGAAAATGGTTCGCAGCACCACCACAAGTTTGTCTGTAGTGTGTTTCTATGGAGCACGTAAATATATACAGTATATAAATATCTTTAAATGGGTATTTTAGTCATAGGCAACAGGGCAGCACAGTGAAGCAGTAGTTTCTGTAGCGTTGCTGCCAGGGCCCAATTCCTGGGGTGCTGTCTGTGTGGACCTTGTACAGTATGTTCTCCCTGTGTTCAGGTGGCTTTCCTCCCATGGTACAAAGACATGCTGGTACAGTAGCTTTACTGGCCCATGTGTCTACGTGTGCCCTGTGATGGATTGGCCTCCTGTCAGGACGTTTGCATCTGTCCTTCCCTTCCTGTATTGGATAAAGTGGTTATGAAACCTCTGAATAGTTTATTTCTGAACCTGTTTGCATGCAATTCTGAAGAGCATGACTTATGGAAATCGACAGATTAGACAGTGAAAATTCTGCTTTTGAGGCAGACACCATTATTGCCTTTTGATTCCTCAGACACTAGTCAAAGCCTGCAAATCTATTTGAATTCCTTCTTGCGGATAATAAGCAACTTCATTTGCGGCGCCTTAAGGATTTAAAAATCTTCTGGCTGCTCAGCTGCAAATTAACAGTAACCATAATAATTGGGTTTAACGAGGTTATGCACGCACTTTTTCTAGTGAGCTAGATTCTCACATATTGTGCGGAAGAAATGCTCAAGAAATTAAAATGACAGATTACCAGTGCTGTCAGAGAGTTATATTCGAGTTGAACTTTGGTCTTTTAGGAAATACCCATTGGACTACCAGTTAACTGCCTAAAAGAATGGTTGTTGAAGGAACAAAGGAACAAATCATTTCATGTTTGTCAAATTAATGAACAATTTTAAGGGACTGTGTGCAAACAACCTCCATTTATTCATTTTGCAACCACTTTATTCAATATAGAGTCATCGGGGAGCCATAGCCTCTCCCAGCAATCAGTGCGTGCAAGGCAGGATACAGCCTGGCCGTGACTCTAGTACTGTATATCACAGGGAACACACAGATACAAACACAGAGAGCATATACAAAGTCAATTCTACTCAGATAGCATCCTAGGTCAAGAGTTGAGTGCAGGGCCACAGTGCTGCACAGTGCTGCTAACTACTGCGCAACTCTGCCTCGCGTGCAGAACACACTCCCTGAAAAATCAGTGCATTACTATGAGTAGTCTTACAATGGAATATAAAAGGTTTATGATATAGGTATCTAGATAGGAATATCGATGACATCATAAAGCAAGTAGAGAAATCAAGGAAGATATGGAGGCCTCACTCTCTGTGACTAAAAGAGTTCCTAGAGGGAAGATATACAGTAATATCCTGAAGTTCAGTCCCCAAGGATACTTCTTCCTAACAGTTGCCCAGCAGTTGAAATAAGGACAGAATCAGAGCATCCAAGATTAAGACTCCTTCTGTGAGGGAGCAATGGGTCTGGTGAGCACATCAGAGAAAGAGTCAGCACAGGACAAGTGGAAGACATATGGAAAAAAGAAGCAGGTGTTTGTTTGCATTTGTCACAGGCTGGGTCCATTCCAGGATGGAATCTGGCTCACTTAGTTTTAGAGAGGTGAGGCTGGTTTGAAACTCCGAATTGGATCAGCCTTTCCAAGCACAGACTGAGGAGGAATGTCCTCGGGACAGAACAGATTCCCAGCTGCTGTTAGAAATGCTGTGAAAACACAGACAGCAATATATAATAAAATGTAAAAAAAAAATGTAAAAAAAGCCATCACTACATGGCTGAGGCCATTTCAAGGACATTTAGGCTGCCTCTATTCTATCTAATTGCATCTCTGACATAAAAATGTGGATGACTCAAAACTTCCTTCATCTTAACGTGACAAGACTGAAGTCATGCTTATTGGTACCCCCCATCAACTTCATAAAGCCAGTCCTGTAACCCTATCTATAGATCGCTCTGTACTTGAGCTTCAATCAAAATTGTATATCAATCAAAACTATATAAAATAAAGTTTATTATTATTATTATTATTATTATTTATCCATATGAAGCAGCACCATAGTGACCCTGGCAAGGCTGGTCAGTACTGGGATGGAAGAGCTGTGACGAAAACCATTTAAACATATAAAAAACATTGCAGCTATTCCTGTAAATGATGCTGGTGGAACAACTGGTGGTCCTCTTTGCTCGGGGCCATAATTTCCTAATCAGTGCTGTAGGAGGTGCCATCCTCTGGTTGAGATGTTAAACCAAGGTCCTGAGTTCTTGATCATTTCAGATCCCATGACACCATCCATCAGACTAGTGATGATACCACAAAAATTCCCTGAAAAATTTTCCCTTTGGTCTTGCACAATGTGGCCTACTTAAATGCTGTCTTTAATTTAGCTGGTGAAATAGTTTCTCACTTCTCTACCTGAGCTGCTGTGCTCTGGGGCTGCTGTACTACATTGGTGAATTAAGTGATTCCCATTGTGTATGTCATGTGCTCCAACATCCTTTGGCATGCAAATGCAAATGCAAACAGCATCGCGATCATTCATCCAGGCTGCTGTGTTATGTAGAAGCTGTACATGTAGTGATGGGAGCCAGCTGTACTGATCTCGGCAGTCAGTCAGACAGGAAGACATGAAGAGGCTCTCAGGGGATTGAGGATCCCAGCAGCTAGCGAATAGGGAGAAACCTGCAGTGTTTTATTGGCAGAAGAAGGAGAATCAGATGAAATATTGCAAATGTGTAATAAATATGTAATAAAAATGAAGCGGATAAATCTACAGGCTTCCAACAGTTGAAACATAGCGGAGGGTTCCCCAAAAGCTGTGGTTTGCACTTCCCAGGAAAATGCAGAGAGCTACTGAAGTAGTTAAATTAACTTCCTGGAAATCCTTCTGTACCTTTTTAACATACAGAAACTAAACGCAAAGGAGATGTCTCCAAGAGTGGTGCTCAAGAGTTTGTCCAATTAGCACTGAATGTATAAGTAACAATATACTGTATGAGTACCAAAAAGTAAGAGTGGAACCATGTGGGGCACAGCCATTGGTGATCCATTGCCCTGCACAGAAGACAGAGTGCACATACTGTACCCAAGAGAGAGCACAGAAATATGACTTCAAGTCTTTCATTTATCTCAATTTAACACCATCATAATATCCTATTGCAAAGTAAATTGCAGTTTACTTTAGGTGTAGTCCAATTTGCCAATCTTGCCTCTATTCTTTTAACTATTTTGAATAAATTACACCTTTATAAACTCCACCTGCAGCTGAATCAGTTGAATGCTGCTGCTTATCGCAGAACAAGATATATTTGTTCAAATCATGCTGCATAAACATTTGCTTTTAATTTAAGTGGTATGAACTATGAATAAACTGTATTGTACTATTGAAGACACCCCTAGATAAGTAAGGGAAATTAAAAAAAAAAAACAAAAAAGGTGTTGGAATATTAAATGTTTTTGATTCAAAATGTTAAAGATAGTGTCAGCCAAATGAGATACAATATGAAAGCTTGTGTGTTGTGAAAATTTTCCAAGTGTTTGACAGATCATTGTCTGTCCAGCTGGTGCATTGCTTTCTGCCTTTAAGCACTTAATTTAAATGTCTTTAATGTTGGTGAAAGCAGGATTGATATAACTTTGCTCAGGCAGACTTTTAGGTGGTTGTGTGAGATGTCACTACATTACAAAAAATATATTTCTCTGGAATCCGTCCAGAAAAGAGCAACCAAACACATCCCCAGGTTTAAAGCAATGCCCCACACTGAGAGGCTGAAGGAACAGAATCTTTTTAGTCTTGAGCAGAGAACAGAGAAAAGAGAGAAGGAACTGGGAAGTTTTCAAAATCCTCAAAGGCATTGATAAAGCTAGCATTATGGACTTTATGGATTTAGAGTTTCAAGTGCCTTTAAAAGTGAGAACAAAAGGCACAAAAAGTAAGAAAAGTATGGAATAAGACACCCAGCCATGTTGTTAAAACTAATACTCTGGCTTCTCTCAAGAAATGGGTGGTTAGGAGCCTCATTATCAATTAGAATGGCCTTCTACTGTTTGTATCCATTGTATGTTCTTATGTTTTGCGCTGTTCAGAATGTTCTCTAGATGGCAGTCTGTATCTAATGTGGTGAAGATTCCAGGCTGAATTCCCTTCTCGCACTGTTATTTACTTGCAGAATCTCATAACTCCTGTCATCCTGGACCGCAGTGTAAGGCATTTTTGCATTCCAGCTTTCAGGCTGTCCTTAGAGCAGGCAGCCCTGAAGTGTATTTCCTCTACCTGTCTGGAAATTGTTGAGCAATACTCTGGCATTCTGGGGGCTCTTTCTTTCTTTTCTTCTTTCTTTCTCTTCTTGTCTTTTTATTCCTTCTGCACACGACAGCTGCTACATTAAAGTTACAGTACACCTTTGCAGGACTTTCATCTCCTGGGTTTTATGACACTTTGCAAAATGTGCAAAGTTTTTAATTAGACTTGCCAGACAGCCTTAGGCTGCAGTAGCGCCACAAAGTCTTCAATGCTCTCTCCGCCTTACAGCACAACAAGCCACTTTACTCCTTTGAAGACAATGCTGACTATGTCTACGACGTCATGTGGTCACCAGTGCATCCTGCACTCTTTGCGTGTGTGGATGGGATGGGCCGCTTGGATCTGTGGAACCTAAATAATGACACAGAGGTGAGTTCGCACCGCCTGCTGTTAGTGCAGAGCCACACCAACACATTTCTCATCTCAGCACCAGCGTTTCATATAATGTAAGCAGCAGAATGAGCTACAGAGCTGGATACCGGCCAGAATCAAAATTTAATGTTCAATGTAATTCCTGTCTCCACGGGTGTTTCCCATAAGCTTTACTGAAACCATTTCGGTACCAGTTTAAAAAAGTGCAGTACTGTAGATAAAGAGCTGCCTGTTCATATTTAAATGTGTTTATGTGCATGTGTCTCTACGTTTGTGTTATAAGTTATATTTTTCCAGGTTCTGCTGACAATAATGTGTTATTTTTACCAGCGGAGAAATAAGTTAAGACATTATATAATTTACAACAGTTATGTGGTAGATTGCATTCATGTTCTGTCATCTGCATAGAAATATGAATCATTTAAGGAGCTTATAATTTTCTTAATTTTGTTAAGAAAAAGCACAAATATAAATAAGCACATATACCGTGGCTTTTAAAAGTGCAAAAAAGTATTTGATTTAGCTCAAATAAAACACATACAAGTTAAGAAAACAAAACTTCTTTAGCAGGAAAGAAGTGGGAGAACTCTAGTAATTTAGAAGTAACTCAAAGGCATTCCTTCTCTTTTGACAATCAAATTGAAGACCTATCAGTAACAGTTTGACCAGCAATGAAACCTGCTCTTACTGTTAGTGCACTGATTGATAGGGAAGGCTTTTGAAGTGTCCAAGCCAGAAAGAGAATCCTCCTTTCTAATTATAAGTCATGAGCCCAGACAGCATGAGGAAGGGTGACTGCCTGTACTCTGGTCTTTTGTCTTAGCTGTTTTTTTGAGGTACTGGCTTTTACAGTTTTTACAGATGAATTGCTTACCAGGTTTGAACAAGAATACCACATTTCACAGACGCTCTGATTATGACATGTTGAAACCCACTTTACTGCTGTTCTTGTGTCATTTACTGTAGTTTCATTTTAAATAAACTTTGAAAGAACTTTTGATTTACAATACACAAAATTAGCTTACTTATTTGATATTAAACTCCTATTTCTGCTTTTATTTTCACTATCAAATGACAATTTAAGGTGAAATGTGAGCAGACATGTAGTTCTTTATTTTGAAGTCTCAAGAAATGCTGGCACCTTATTCAGTAACGATTTGCTTGACTCTCATTCCAAAATGCTTCCCAGCTTAATGCTATAATAGATAAAAGTTTGCAGTTATGGTATTTCTTGCAGAATAACTATAGATAGAAAGCATTCAACTAGTAGATTAAAGTAAATATTTTGAATTGAGCCAAGAGAAAGAGAATATAAGAAAACTCCATTCATCCAGGATGCCTCACCTGTTTACATACTTTAGTGTTCACTAACATGGTGTTTCTTTCAATTCCGACTTCATCCTGCAGGACACCGGCATTTATTGTCTAATTCCGAGAGAAGGCTAATCATGTTGTGGTTCATGGCTAATCTCGTTCAGAGCAGCAGACACAGAGCTGTACAGCTCACACGCTGCTCCACAAACAGCTGTATGAAAAGGAGCCTCTCAGTGCAGAACTGCAGACAAAAGGGAGTAAAAGGATGTCTTAAATTTTCCATCATTTTACTTTATTGAAAACATACATGGATGCACAGGCCATTGGTGAATTGCAGCATGCCATCTTTTGTTATCAGTTTAAACATTTACCATAATGCCATTAATTGAGCACAGATTATCTGGTTTCAATTTGTGTTCAAAATGCACAGCAAAATGATCTTAGTTAATGCTTTTTAATACAGCTGTAGTTTGTGGCTATCAGTTTCAAAATCAGATGCCTTTTCTTTGACCCAGAAAGATCGGATGAACTCAATGCCTTTGAGTTCTTCAGACGTTTGTATTCTGCTTTCACCTGTGGTATTTCAGCTGAGCTACGGCTGCCACCTCTATTCTCCTGAGGTTTACAGTGCATCATCTCTGTGCATCGCTTTCTGGACTCTCTCTCACGCACTGGGATTCTTCTCAAATTAGAAACATGATTCCAGAATACACGTAAAAAGTCCTTTTTACCAATTTAATTTAAAATATACACCTCAGTTTCAATCTGCAGGGATAGTGTACTGTATGTGAATGAAATGCCCAGGCCTTTATTTCCCAGGAGTTTTGTGTCTTCAATTTTAAGTTTGCTGTTAGCTTGCATTTTTTCCTTTTTATTTTTTATATATACTTCCACTATGTCTTTGGAGCCTGGGTGGCTCATTAGGGAATGCAAGACAGACACTGCCCCTTGCAATTTACATCAGATGGACAAGCCAAATAATACTTAAGATTTATTTCGTACAATGTAATTTATTCTTTACACACAAAGCGGACCACACAAAGCGACCTAGAATCAAAACTGCCTGCTCTCACAGGAGGCAGCTACTCTCGTCTCCCTTCGGGACATTCAGTAGTCGATCATCTTGTTTCGTTTAGCCTGTGAACAGAACTTTTAGATCCCAAAACAGCTGCAGGCGATCTGCCATCTTTCAGGCTCTGACGATTGTTGGTCATCTTGTTTTTAAAGATTTCTAACACCTCTTGTAATGACACTTGCCACTGAAGGCCTTTCTGGTTGTTTTCCTTTTGTGTTTTTTAATCATTGCATTTCCTCCCCTTACATGACTGAAGAAGAGAAGACATTGCATAATCCAGTGGCTGTGACATGCAGTCTCATACTGAGCAGTGATACTGATAGAAATTTTATCATATTACAACATGGTCATATTACAATGCCGCCAGCAGCCATATCACCCTGCAACTCACAACTGGCAGCCCACTGAAGCTCAGCAGGTGTGAGCCTGGTCAGTACCTGGAGGGGAGACCTCCTGGGAAAAACTAAGGTTGTTGCTGGAAGAGGTGTTAGTGAGTCCAGTAGGGGGCACTCAACCTGCAGTCTGTGTGGGTCCTAATGCCCCAGTATAGTGACGGGGACACTATACTGTAAAAAGGCACCGTCCTTCGGATGAGACATAAAACCAAAGTCCTGACTCTCTGTGGTCATTAAAAATTTTAAATCCCAGGGCATTTCTATAAAAGAGTAGGGGTGTAACCCCGGTGTCCTGGCCAAATTTCCCATTGACCCTTAACAATCATGGCTTCCTAATTATCCCCATCTATGAATTGGCTTCATTACTTTGTTCTCCTTCCCACTAATAGCTGATGTGTAGTGAGTGTACTGGTGCACTATGGCTGCCATCGCATCATCCAGGTGGGGCTGCACATTGGTGGTGGTGGAGGGGAGTCCCCATGACCTGTAAAGCGCTTTGAGTGGAGTGTCCAGAAAAAAGCTGTAGAAATGTAAGCAATTATTATTATTAATATTGCAAATTGCTACTGAGCAGCAGGGAGAAGTGGACCAAACTGGCTAAATAGAGCTGTTTAAAAATGTTATTCTCACTAAATTTCACTTATAAGGTTTTATTGATTTCTTCTCCTAACATGCCAAAATCATGCTTGCTAGAAAATAATTTATTTTGAGAAAATATTATAAAGTCTTGTAAGGTATTATCTTGCCAACATTTTTTCTTCAGGCAGTCACATGAATCATAGAAGATTCAGCAAAGCAGTCATATCCTAGTAGATGGCAGGATTTTGGCTTCTTCTCTGGTACTATTATATTTAAAGAATAACAACATTTTGTTGACAGTAATTGTAGAGTGATATCATCATATCAGCATCTAATATTATTAGTACATTTGAAACAAAGTTATACTTCGTGAATTTTTAAATTACACTACTGCGTCGCACCTGTTTTTTTCAACACAAGATTCTGATGGCCAATTGCAAAAGTGATTTATCAAGATCAAATGGACACATTTTTCAAGGTGCTTGATTAAAGCAATGTGCTGTATTTGAGCCCAAACAAGTCAAGTGCTAGAAAAGTAAATAACATATAATGTAATTTTTTTAATCAACCTCTAGAGCTCTGTGAGACCATTATGTAGAACATTTATACCCGCCCAGTTATTTGAACCCCCACTGCTCTGAAGTCTTCTGGCCTTTTTTTCAAGACTAGTGAAACATTGTCCTCTGTTAGATGTGGGGTTGTGAAAAAACTAAAGTAGGTTCCTCAAGTTGAATCTAATGTACTTTCAGGATGTATTTATATGTGGAACCATTCTGGTAATACTTCTCTCAGCTTGAGTACTCCTCGTGCTAATACATGAATTTGGGAATCCAGCTGGTGGAAACAAACACTTGTATGGTCTTTATGAATAAAGAAATGATCTTAGCAGACATCTTCAAATTCGAGAGTCGTTAGCAAGGATCTTGGATACCAGCCAGATTTGAGCTGGATTTCCAGACCCTTTAAGTTGTCAAGAATCTGAGAAAAAGAGTTTAAGCAGTCTAATAAGGTGGACCAGTTTAATCATGCAGTACAGATTTAATATGCTGGACTGTGAGCCACAGAGATCAGGGTTCAGGACCTCTGATGCCTTTTAATACAGCCTCTTGTTTCCCTTTTTCCATGAACTGCAAATAATGTGTCAGTATGGCATTGCTGTGCTTTTCCAGCTTGGCCTGCTCTACCTGCACATTATTTGTCAGGCGAGGGCTAAACACAGCTCCTGCGTTATGATCCGCGCAGGTGCCGACGGCGAGCGTGATGATCGAGGGGGCGTCGGCTCTGAACCGAGTGAGATGGGCGGCGGGAGGGAAGGAGGTGGCAGTAGGAGACTCGGAGGGACGGGTCTGGATCTACGATGTTGGAGAGGTAAACATGTGCACATGCATTCATCTTCTACCACCCTGCCCTCTCACACACAGAGAGGCATCTGCCAGTCATGTTGTGTGAATGTGACTGTGCACCTGGCATGAACATGAGACAGCGAAAGGGATGCTTGTCTTATAATTGACCTAGCCATGCATATATCTACTTTGTGAAGACGTCACTAGTGAAAATATTGATCATCCTAATACTTTACCAAGTAAAGTGAAAATGATCTACTGTGATCCTTTAGATTCTTCCATATAATAGAAACAAGGATAAGTACTGTACCTTTGATTAGACTTATTGAGACAATTTTTGCTTGAAGTACCTTATACTACAAAACGAGATTCTGTTTCCCATTGCAGATTGCTTCACTCACTCAAATGAAATCCTCGGAGTAGATAAGAATTGTCAATTTCATTTCTTTTTTTAATTTTTGTTTCAGTGGCTTTTCAGAGGTCAAACGGTTTTCCATTAAGGCACATGTGTGATTCTGATTCTGCACCAGAGCTGAAATTAAACCAATGTCTGATGCAAAGTTAGTACACCTGTCTCATGGTACCATGAGCTGTGAGGCAGCAGTACTATGCCACCATACCACCCTCATTGCCTCGCATCTTTTATTTTGGGCAATGGAATTGTATTGAGAGGAAACAGTTTTTGTATGTTGTGTGTGTGTGTTTAAAGCATACAGCATCTCCTTTTTTTATCTGTCTCTTCTAACACACGTGATTAAACAGTTCCAGAACTAGAGTAACTTCCACATCTTCATGTTGCAGTCCTTGTGACTCTGGTTTTATTTCAGCGTGGGTTTTCTAATTTTAGTTCTCTGAAGCAATATAATTGGAGACTGGTTGGTTTAACGTGTGGTCTAGGGTTAATGATAATGGTTGGTCATCAATAAAGTAAGTGAAGCTGAAGGGCCTTGATGTCTGAGCAATGTGGGGGAGGAAAACCACTGTCTTTTCCTAGGCGCTCCAATAAAAAGTTTGAATAGCTGACATTTTGAAAAAAGCGTTTGACAAGTCCTCGTTTTTATCAATCTATACATCAAATTAATGCAGTACTGTACCAGCCCTTTGGAGGCCACAAGATATTTTCCAGTTTTATGTGTAACCTATACCCAGTGTATCATTGTAAGACAACCCTACACAGAGAATGTGACACTTAAAAAAATGTCCATGTTCTGTGTATTTACTGTATGCATTGGCACGTTTATTTATATTTGCTTTTTAAATACATGTTTTTTAAAATGTCAGTACATTTCTTGTCTTGTACCACATGCAGAGAGTGATCCCGCATGCTAGAGTCTGTCAGTCTTGTTGGGTGAATGCCTGAGATGCCCTTTTGTGCTTTTTATATCACTGTAATTGCACCCTCTAAGGTTTCTACTTGGGTGGCGAGCATTTCACAATGGAATTTAATCGTATGGCCAAACTTATTTATTTTCTGAAATAAATTCCTATGCATTTAATAAAATAATTACTGTATTTTCAACTCAAAGTTTTAACTTTCATAAATGTAAAATTGTTTTCGGCAGTTATTGGCATTGACACACCTTATAACCTATAAGGAATAGGAATATGAATACGGCATTTCTAATGTCAAGGATTAGATGTCAGAAATATTACTGTAGTGTGCCCATAGTGTACCTGAAGCAGTGTTTTTCCAGAGTTATACTCATAGTACCTGGCACACTGTGTTTTGCTTCAGATTAAAGGTGGCATGACATTTGTACCTCAAGGATCGAGAATGAGAGGTAACTTGGGGATCCAAGTTCTACTTGCTGGGCTGTGTCAGTAAGAAAGTACTGATTTAAAATCCTGATTGAGACCAAGAATTTGCTGACCTAAAAATCCTTAAACATGCCCTAATGAAGGGTTATTTCAAATTCTAGTCCAAATAATCCCAGTAACAATAATTTAAAAAATGCTTTCAGTATGGACATGAGGAAAGTGTACAGTATACAGAAAAGTATAAAGAACTTTTAAAAGTCTCTTTAAAAAATAAAGTAAAAAAAACTCCAAGTGGCAAAAATGGATAATTACAAGGCACACATACAAGGGCTTAGACTGTAAGCTCTCTGCGTCTCCATCTAAACCACAGTAGGTGAAACCCCATAATCTTGAAATTAGGAAAAATGCAGAAGGCTGTACCGAAGACTGATTTTATTTAAATGTGGAGGATTCTCCTAGTGAAAAAGATGCTTCTTCCACGTTTCCTATCATATGGACAGTTTTAGATTCAAAACAAAAAATGTGATGATATTGTTTGTTCATTCATTTAAATAAGTGAAGATTATTTGGGATTTAAAGCTGAGGAGATGTAGGAATGTATTTTGAGTCATTATTGCTAGTTCTGAATTGTACAGATGGACAGTGGGAGGAAAAGACAGAAACAACCAACGGCCTTCTGAAATCTTCTGTAAGAGGACCAGTTCATAGGCATCAGTGTTCAGTCACTAGATTGATACTTCCAAGTTCAGCCATGTCATATCCAGGCCTGGAGTTCAAAGGGTTTCTCTTGGATCCTTGAAGAAAAGCTTTGATGAGACATATTGTATGTACACCTAGAATAAGCTACTACTTGAGGCAACCAAGTGAGAAATTGGGGACACATTGCCTCTTCTCATTTGCAGCCCTTTTCTATGTCTTGATTAAGCAGAAAACAAGTGAAAAACAGGGCCTAACTGATGTCTTTTCATGTGGTGTGAGTGGTTCCTGAAATAAGCTTGTTGTCTTCCCAACAGCTGGCTGTCCCCCATGCTGAGGACTGGACCCGGTTCGCCAGGACCCTGGTGGAGATACGTGCCAACAGAGCTGACGGGGAGGAGGAGGGGCCCGTTGAACTGGCCGCATAGTTCCTGCTGCCGAGTCAGAGCTTAAGGGGTGACAATGCAAGTACCATATTCATTAACCACAGTGTTAGGTGTCGGGCATTGAATTAAAATGCATGTATCACGTGCAGTGCACCGATGCCCAATCCATGGTGTACATGACATTTAATCCAAGCTGCAGTGAGTTTCAAAGGAGAATATATTCTATTTCTCCCTTGCAAGCAACTTTTGTGATTAGAATTTTGACAATAGCATATCCATGTAAGCAACTCCTAATATTTAGTGGTTTTTTTTCATATATAGTAGCTTTATTTATTGGTTAGAGGCCTCTGGTGAAACTGGTATTTACAGGCAGCACAACTACTATTAAATCCATATGAGACTGAATATGACGATGTGCAGATGTGGTAATTTACCCAGTGTGGGACTGAGCCAGTAACTTAAGATGTGGTGTTTCACACTGGTATCTGACATGCAGAATGCTTGTACGATATGCATATTGTTGTTTTTATTCAATGCAGAGTACTGCATGAAATGTATTTATTGGAGTCTCTACATAATTCTTGCAACATGTTGTAAAGTGTCATAAACGTCTACAGATCAGGTTATCTTCACTGAAAGTTGAAACATGAGGGTATTTTTAATTGGCTTACCTTCTTCATGAGGAAGAAGCTTGGTTATGAGGATCTCCTGTCTATTTAAATGCTTTATTATTGTATTGTTTTTGGGCCGCAGTTCAAATGCAATGTCTAGTAGTTTGCAAGAAAACAAAAATGTTGCCAATAAATAACACATGGTTATTTTCTGTTCCTTTTTTATTATTATACGAGGTTTGATTTTCCTAAGAAACAATACTAAAAAAAACAGTTTTGGAATGAATAAAAAAGGTAGAACATTAAGGTGCTTTTCAACTAGTTTGTAAATTGTTTTTTCAAAAGAAAAATAATGTGTCTTTAACAGTGAGGAAAGCAAGTTGTGGGCTTTTGTTCACGTTCCATATACAGTATTTATGCTGAAGAGATGCTGTCCACTGTCAGCTAACAAGTTAAAAATTGTGCTTAAAACACTGGCTTGAACAGAAAGTAGTTAATTTCTTCTGGTGCAGCCTTTGGTACTTCTTAATAGGAGCTTCTTAATAGTTCACCAGCAACCTGCTGATTGAGTTGTAGAGACAGCTTTGGTTCCTGAGACTCCTTTGTCCCATTAAAATCTCATTATGTTTAAGAGTCAGCAGCACTGACACAACCCAAAGGCAGTTCATCCCGCTCTGCTCTATAGATGTGGTAAAGTTTTCACAAAAGAGGAATTTATCTCGATTAAAAGGAACTTAAGCTGAGAAATTTGACTTCACTCATATCTATTTGTGATGAAAATGTGCACAGTCAAAGGCAAGCAAGCCTAGTTTAGAGTTAAAAGACCTAGGAGCAAGGCAGGGCAGGGATAATCTCTGTTCCTGGAAGGAGGCCAATAATGAAAGTGTATAAATAGAAACCTCAAATTCTTTTCAGCTATATTTTTACCCTGATCCAATGAATCATTGAAAATCTAGACGAGAAAGAGATATTCCAGAAGGTGCATTAACACGGTGTCTCTCGCATTGCATGTTAGAAGCACTCCTCACAGGCTCACCAAAAAAAAACACCATAGAAGCTGTATAACTGTCCTACTCCATGGATTCCTCTCAAGGCCAGGAGCCCCATCAAAGAAGCTCTTCAAAGCCTGCGGCTGCGTTGCATTCTGTCGCATGTTTTGCTTCTGAAGCAGCTTTGACATGTCAAACAACCACATCAATGGATGTGACCGCATCCCAGGAGGGCTGCGAATGAGAACTACTTCCGGAGGTAAGTGCTCTCCCTGCTCGCTCTGCACAGCTAGGGCGACAAGCACGTTCCCAGTTACAAACCCATCGACCTGCTTGGGAAAAGGTCAGAGTTGGGCAGGCGCGTTAAGAAAATGCGTCATACAGAATATGTTGGGGCTGGGGATCTACAGTACTTGCAGAATGAGAAGAAAGCTCCAGCGCACAGAGCTGGGAATGGCACCACCTCCCGATGACTTAATATCTAAATTTGACGTGAAGAAAAGTGATTGGAAAAGTTACAATTTAGCCTGCGAAAGCTGAAACTAATATAAAGCTCAAATTTGGAAGTAGGGTGCCCTGCATCTTGTTATGGGCCCATGTTCGTTGAGAAGCACATTCCATTTACAAATTCCTTACAACCTGTGTCAGACCTGTCAATGAATGTTAATAACCTGGCAGGAACTTGACCTCTTCTGAATAGTAATTGCCCGATTATTAACAAAACTGAGATTGTTCTCATATATTTGTGTTTTATTAATAGATATGCTGGCATTAATCACAGCTATCCATTTACGCTACGATTTGCGGCCTCTAAAGTGCTACTGCTGAATTATGATGTTATTAAAACTTCACACATGTATTTCCATGTTAAGTAATCTAATGATTTAATGGTCTTCTCTACAGCAATAGGATTCTAGGGGGATAGTCAAAATGAATTGAGCAGAAATGGTATCAAACCGTATGGTATATTTACATTTTCAAAAGGCTTTAGATAAAAGTCCTTATAAAAGAATCATTCTCAAATTGCAGGTGGTAGGAAAACTATATAACAGCTGTAGAATACTAAATGGGAGATGATGTTATCATTGAAAAAGTGTCTATGCTGAAAATGTTGATCTTCTCTACAGAATGTAGAGGAGTAAGAAAAAAGTCAAGCGATATTAAGCTAGTCAAAGTGAAGAATTAAAAGACATGCTATGTTAAAATTGTACAATGCATTAGGAAGACCTCATTTTTAATATTTGTACATATTTAAGCTCCACTTTAGAAAACTGCAATCAGTATAAATAAGAAACTGTCAGACACATTTTGGGGCTGAAAGGAACTGTACTACACCGAAAGGCTAAAAAGAATGTAATCATTTTAATCTTAAACAGAGGAAAAGTACTAGAGAACCTGGTTCCATTAGTGGAAAAATCCTCAAAGGTAATTAACAGTCAACCCATTGCTCATGAGAACTAAAAGAAAAACAAACCATGGGTGGAAACTATAGGGAAGTACGTTTACAACTGACAACACGAGGCATTTTGTTATACATAGAGCCTGGAACAAGCTGCGCAGTTATTTTGGTGAAACTGATACACTGGATGCTTTCAAGAAACAGCTGAGTGAGATGCTCCGATTTAATTTCTAGCAATGCAATAAGCTAGTTAGGCCAGGTGGCCTTTTTCTTATGTTGGTATTGCCTTTCCCAGAAGGATTCCAGTCGTTCTTGTTTCAACAGTGTTGAGAATATCTGCTACTCCCGGGAGGCCACAGAACTACCAAGATGGCTATCTTAGTTTACATGGCACATCCCTTCCCTACTGAGCACGCCTTGGTGTGTATATAAGGGTGTGGCAGGCTCAGCTCATGTGTCTTTTGAGGACAAAGCTCAGGTCTGTGTGGAGAGCAGGTTGAGCAGTGACTTCCAGAATCCATAGGGAAAAGAGAGGAAAACAGCAGTTGGAGTAGTAGTAAGCCGTTGGAATAAGATGACTAATAAGATATTTTTTATGTTCTGCCTGACAGTGGTTTGGGTTGGTAAGTGGGCTAGCCCCAGTGTATAAACGTTTAGTGAGGGCTCCAAAGTGGGCTGTTTTATCTGTGCTTCTGGAGGTGTGTATTCATTGAAGTACTGCCATAAATCAGGCAGCTTGGTACCCTCATTAATAAAGTCCTTCAACAGTGTGATATCCCTTCGTATATTAGAGGACAGAGCTAGAAGAGTCTAACTGTGGCAACCAGCAAGCCTGACTGGCACAGTATCAGTACTGGTGAGGGGAGCCCTTCATTCCAGGCTGTGCTCTTAAAACTGTATACATATCTTGGAGCTTACCTTCGAACACAGAGTAGGAAAAAAAGCATGAAAAAGGTTCTAATCAAGCCACTTGCTTCAATAAGATGTCAATTAAGAAAAAAGGAACGGGAGTATGTTTGGCATCTCCATGATCAGTGCTGGGAAATTCTTCACTAACAAACCAATGAAATCATCTCATGTGGTACATCAGGATGTCAGACATTTTTTATTGTGTTAAAAAGACGAAAATGATATTGCTAGAAATGTTAAAAGGCTAAGAAAGACATTAAAAACAAAAACATTTTTTGATTGACAATTAAAAATTAATATATATTCAAGTGGTTAAATGATTAAGTTTACTTTTTAAACGTTTTTTATCATTCACAGTTTAACACAAATGACTCACATGCCTAACAGAACAGTGACAAAGACAAGTCGATGAGAGGTTCAGAAATATACTTTTCTTTTCTCAGGCCTTACTTATCATGCTTGAGATGTCCTTGTACTGCTTGCTTGACATGGTTTTATTTTCACCACTGAAGCAAATTACATCCCAGCTTCTTTAAGAACAGCAACATTATCAGTCTATTAACAGAGCTGGGTTCTGGCTCAAGGGCTATGAGACATGTTCTCTTATGCATATGAAAGACATTCTAGTAAACACTTGACAATTCATCATCATTATCATTCTTTATCTTAACAGCATCAATGCCGTACTGTCTTGTTAATACAAGTATTATTGGCTTATCAGTCACCCAACGCACTTTTAACAGGACATGGGCTATGCCTGGTGACTAAGGCAGGGAGGCAGCTCTACCAGCAGCACAGTGTTCAGAAATATCAGAAAAGAAAAGAATATAAATGAGTTCCTTAAATAGGTCTCATACTACACCTGGAATAAATAACAGTAAGGATTAAAATACAGCATGTTATTAACTATATTCCAGTTCTTTTTAAGAAATGAATATTAGAATAGCCACAATATGAATTCACAGTATTGAGTTGAAAGGAAGCTCTCTGATGCCCCAGCAGCTGAAACAGTGCAGCCAAGTGACTGCTGGGTTCGGTGTGCGACTGGAAACCAGTGCTGATCTCCCAGGCCATTAAGACCGAGCTGGCAACGAGGGCACTGGCGCCTCAAAACGGGGCAACTGGAGTCCAAACTTTCTTTCGATTCCAGCAAACGTAGCCAAGGCCAACTTAAAACCTCCAACGTGATCTGGATTCGGTTCTGGCAGGCTGATTCGAGGTTTAGGACAGGGTTCGGTGCCACTCGGTTTGCTGTGCCAAAAGGGAAAGGAGAAAAAAAGATTGTTTTCATTCTTTACATTTTCCTCCAGTTACAATAAACAAGTTAAGTGACTGTATAAGCACGCAACGGCGGCTGTTTCTTTTTTCTTTCCAAAATAATAAAATGTAATGAATGATTCATGGACATTAGCACTTTTGACCTTTCCAGTGAGGAACACAAGGAGTCATGTTGGAATTATTCTGCATCTTCATATGGACATGATGAACTATGAACTACTGTATGTGGAGTATAGTGGAGAAAACTCACTCATTCCAAGGTACATGTATGCACTATTAAAACTATGACGTACGCTACCAGCTAGAAAAACGCATTTGGTAATGCCTACATTTCTCTAGGGTTATGAGAATGACATGCAAAAAGTAAATAAACCCCTAAACTAGATTTAATAAATAGAGTTGTATGATAGGCACCTTCACTTCGTAGGACACTTTCTTTCATAAACTTTCCCGCAGCTGGTTCTGGAGTTCGAATGAAAAATCCTGTAGTTACCTAACTAGACAGATAAGAATGAAACTGGCTCTATATTCATTCAAATGGGCAAATCTCAACAGATCAACCATTTTGCTCTTTTTCTAAATTGGCAAACTACCATGACAGGTTATATCATCAAGCTGAGAAAGTGTTTAAAACTGAAATTTGAATACACTTTTTTCTACTATCTGTAATTAAAGAGTTCAGAATGAATACACACCGTTCATTTTTGGTCGCAGCTTTTATGTAAATATCATATGATTTCCAGTCAAATGTGCTGTAGCAGTCAGTTGACCTATACTTATTTTGATCTCTTGACAGAGTCCTTCACAAAACTAAATGAAAAATAAAACTGCACTTCGATCAGAAATTTGTGATTGTACTTCGGAAAATCTGCTAACCTCTTCTCTAGGTGTGCTGATATATCTGCACTGAACATCAAAAGAAACACCACTTTATGCACTATATATTTTTAAGAATATAATCTACAGATTTTGGATGTGGACAAAGTATCTTTGGTATCAGTTTGATTACTAGATCATTTATGACTGCCCAAGATACACTCGAGAGACTCATCGGTGAGAACAATAATAAGGCGCAGGGAATGAGGCAATTCAACCTGCTGAATGTCAAGCCTAGTGAAAGAAAAAACAGAAAGAAACCCTCAACACCCCACTTATCAAGATAAAATGTCAGGTCTCAGGTGGACCTGACAGCTCTGACGTCGAGTACTGTTTAGTGATGAACCAGACCACCCTGGTGGGCATCACCGGGTGTGGTGCAGATGTGCAACAGGCCAGTCTGTCCAGGTGTGATGAGCTGGACAGGAGTGTTGTGTTGCGATGGCAACCTGACTGCACGTTGCTACATCGATCACTTCCTGACACCTCACTAGCTGCCCTCCCTGCAGGCTCATCTTGACATGACAACATTCCAGCAGGACAATGCACGTCCTCATGCTGCTTGTGTAACAACGCCTTGTTAGCAGGATGAGAAAGTGGATGCCCTGCTTGCTAGATTGAACCCTATGGAATGTTTACCAGATAAATTGGAATGATTTCAGGGATCAGGCAGCAGTGAAGAGGCACATGGCTATCCAGGCTTCACAAGAGGAATATGACAGGATGCCATGAGACAACCACTGCTAACCAGGGCTAACCATGAGTCACACATTTATGGCTCCTATCGTTTCTAATGGCAGCCACACATTCTAGCATTCGAGTTCTCCCAATACACCACCTTGTTAATGATCAAATGCAAAAATATGCAGCATAATAAACTGACTAACATGACTGTTCAATAAAATATCACTGCACTTGACAGGTTAGCATTTTAGTGCAAATAACTTTGTGAGCGTGTTGCATTTGCAAGTGATATGTTTCTTTATACAGTACGCTCAAAATATCGTGAGTAAGCATATCCCATTGTCGAGTGCTAATTCACTTTTTTGCGAACCTCTCCCACACCCCAAGATTATTACACCTTGAAAAGTAAGCCGATGTGGGAATCACCAGCTGCGAAATAAATGAGAGCACCAACTTACTGTCCGCCAAAGTCGACATTAAACCACCTCTGCAGCAGCTCATAGGTAAGAAGTGTGACACCGAACTGAGGGGAGGAGCGGAACACTCGGGCTACAAAAGCCAGAAGACAGAAATGATTAGACACCAGGAGACAAACCCCGCCATTAACGTGATCTGCTGCATGAGAAAAGGTTCCTTCGCAGACATAAATAACCAAACAACTCTTCAGAAGCAAACGTCTGTTGGGTCCTAACGTGCTCAGCATTTAAATAACAACTTCTGTTAAGGGCTCGTACCTCCAGCGCCTTTCCAGAAAGCCCTGGGACCCTCTTCTCTGAGGATCTTGCGGAAGCAGTCAGTGACGCCGGTGTAAGTGGTCTGTCCGGCCCGAGCTGCCACTTGTAACCTTGTCTTGATTACGTCAGCAGGTGTCACTAAGGAGGCTGCAGGCATACCTGGGGAATTAAAGGGATCGTTACCGTGCCAGGTTCGTCTGCAAAGATGAAAGGAAACCCTTGCCACGGGTCACAACTTTATTTGATGTTGGTGTTGCAATAAATAATATTTTGCAGTGACCTAGGTATGGAGCGCGATTTGTTTTAATTGCACGGACAATTAAAGCCGACAGAATTGTAGTACTGGAAAGTTTGCCTGTTCAAAGGCTGGTAAAATGGCGATCAAAGTCAGCTGGTCCCATTGTTGCATACTTCATCCTTTGGAATAAAACCAGCAGAGAAGTCTATGAAGCAAGACAATGAAAGCTGATGAGCTGGCATTCCTCTCCTCAGACAACACCAGTCATTTTACTTCCATGCTTTATTTTGAGTGTTTCCATCACCCTTTTGAAGGTCAACCAATCCAGTCTGGCAGCCTCTTTGGATGTCAATGACTTTCTTACATCAGAATTATCTATTCATACCATGACTGATGACCAGGACTGTGGCTGACTGATAAACACTACAGCTATTAAGCCCTCAGACGTGTGATGGAGCATTAGTGCCAATATATCGCTGCACCTTTCTCCTTTATTGGTACAAAATATATTTTTTTGCTGTCGTGTGATTTTCTTAATATAACGAAAACAATCTGTATTTATTCAGATGAGTCCACTCTGCCAGATTCTCATTTACAATGATGACCTGGCCAAAAGCGCTCACACCAACGTTACAGAGAAACAAAGAAAAGATCAATAAAAACATAACAGCACATGACAGAAAAGAGATACAATGTCAACAGCTCCCACGTGTCAGGCAGAAAAGCTTTAATCACACAACTGAAAACGCCCTCTGGGATGAAGGTGGACAGTTTTTAGCTCAGTCTGCAGATGGTTCTAGTTATTAACAGCGGCAACTTGCAATGACTTGTGCGCAACATTAGTACTGCTCAGGGGACGTTCAGTTTGATGAAGGTGTTTTTAATATACACCTTCATGAATCCAAAACAAGATTTACTCCGACTAAGATTCACTGATTCCGTTGTCCTGCTGAAATATTTTTTTCAGTGTCTCACTCCCATTTTTAATAGGCTTTTTTATCAGCCGTTTCCCAGTTATAATCATTATTTTCCCAGAAACCACAAAACGATATAAACTGCCACATTACAGAGCCTTCTTTTAGAAAGGAAAAAAAAAATTAAATCGTGATTTTCATGTGATTGGATTAACTGCATTGATGGGAAAAGTAGTGGCCAAATTCTAATCAAATATTTTAGCAATGACTTAAAGTTTAAACAGGCAGTCAGTCAACCTAAGTGGTGAAACTGGCACTATATGTACTCCACTCATTTTTCAGTTTTCTTCCATTTCTAACCATGACTGTCGGTGCACAGATTGAAAAAAACTATCCTGACTTAAAGGACTTTTCCACTGTGCACTGTTGTCCAACCCAAGCTGGTGAGCTGAAAGATGCACAAAATCCCCTTTGAAAAAGGGTGTTCTTTAAAATGAATTTATTTTGTTTCTTTTATTGTCCAAACCACGGTGGTTTGGCTGTAATAATCAGTGTCTCTATTGAATAGCTGTTTTCTTTAGAAGTCTGTGAAAAAAAAAACAAAACTAAAATAAACCCACAGGAAAAAAAAAGATTGGATATAAGCCAGAAAAGAAAAGAAAAACTAAAAGTTAAAGCATCGGTTAAAAAAAACACAGAAATAACGCAGAGAATTTTTCTTTGCATTTACAACCTGGAAGAACCACTTATTCCAATACAGTGCGGGTCCTACTACTGTTCTGTAACTGCCAGGTCATATATATTAAAAGTGGAAAATATCCTTGAACTTGGCACAGCTGCTACGCTTGAAAACCAAAGCTAAATCACTGAACATTCTAATTAGGAAACCACAATGGAGACAGTGGTCACAGGCAGCTACTGAAGACCATGTGGGTGCTTACCAGCTAAGACTCCCGCAAGCAGCAGACTCCCAGCGCCCACTTGACCGTCCTCATCAGCAAAAGCAGCTTTGGCGTGAGCGTAGCAGGGGAAGTAAATGGCCGAGAAAGGAATATCGCGCAGAAAGCAGGCCTTTGCACCCTGGGACGGAGAGAAGCCGGATGTTAATCGCGAGTGCACCCCGGGGAAAGCAGGGACAGGAGACGTTACGTTAGCACGGATGCACACTAGTCTGTCTTGTGCAGCTCCAGAGTTTCCCCCTCCCTATCACATACTGTAGCAACCTCAAGCAAGCTGGCGGAGAACTTCAGCTTGATTCTAAGAGAATATGAAGAAGGAGAAGTGATTATAGAATTGGAAGTATAGAATCAAATAATAAAAAGCAGCGTCTAAAATGCGACCAGGTTGATTTCTAAATTAGACTAGTACAGCCATTGAAGAGCGTTTCACGTACAAGCATGGATCTAAGAAAGCAGAGGTTCTAATTATACAATATAATGAGCATATTTTTATTCAACACATCATAACTTGATAACTAAGCTATTATGTAATTCACTTTATTCCATTTTGACCTACTGTATGCCTGTGCCTTCCTTTCTAGTTTGTATTACTAATAAACGTGTTTCAAAACGTTTTAAATCAGCCAGCTCACTTAAACCAAAGTTAATGTTATATTTTTTCTAACGATACTGAAAAAAATGGAAAATCTAATCCTTAATTGCTTCCAAATAAAGCCTGATGTGCAATATATTACTTAGCAGAAAAGTGACTGTTTCAACTCTGAAGTGTCACAAACAATTCTGAAAGTATTGCTCTTGGAAACCAGTGTTGCTGCTGTTTGGCAACTGATCCTGAAACTAACAATCATGTGCTTATTCTGTGATTGAACTTGCCAATTAAACATCGTTTAAATGATTTCTCTGTATACATACTAGATATTCTATTCTCATCTTTTTATATGTCTAAAAAGATTAGAAACACACACAATAAGGTGCTTTTCCAAACAAACCTCTACAACACAAACATTTACAGCTGTTTTCCATGTTCTGAAAGGCAATATCTTCCCTTCATCAAACTCTTTAATGCCAAGTGAAGCACACTTAAGACAAGCCTCATTTAATTTCCAGGTTAATCTGCGTGCACACACACACCAGCAGCAAAGATCACTTCGATATCTCTTTCCTCAAGTCACTCTCCTGTCTGGCCATGCAGACAACCTGCTGAAAGCCTGAAGATAACATCAATATCTCTTAATATGGGGGAGGCTTAATAAACCCTGTGCACCTTGAAATGGGAATTTGGTGATGTCTGCTACAGCTCAGCTGCCACTTCCAATCAGCGTAATGCTTGTAATTCCCTTAATCTTGCAACACAAGTTAAATTCAAGTTCAGAGGGGAAAAGGTTGTAGGCTGTATGTAAGGTGAGACACAGATGAACAGAGGCAAGATCCTTTGCATGTGAATTACAATTTACATTATCTATACAAGCAAATATGCTTCTGCACAAAGTACATTCACTAGAAAGGGAGGGTCATTATGCACACAAAGACATCTCTGTAATAGGCTGGGGAAAAGGAGTCAGTGGGTCTGGAAGGTGCAGGCACACCCTTCTGTCCTGCTGTGAATGCTCACGGATGAAGGCTTTTTTGTGCCAAAACGTAGACGGCTTCAAATAAATTATTATAGAGTCTGCGTCCTATTCATTTCATTGTTTTTGAAATAATTTTCATTGGACGATGCCTTAATAATATTCGGTGTGCGTTCTTTTTTTTCTTTTTGGAACTTTGAACAGCAAAATTGTTCTGGGCTCTACTGCGAGAAACACATAAAGTTAAGTGTTTTCAATAACTCATGTGACCCATAAATCAATCGGATGAGAACAAATTTTAATTTACGGTGATTTTCTGTAAAGTAAACTATGCAACTGGGCCTTGTACTGGAGCCCTCTGAGTGAAACAACTTGCTCAAGGGCACAACAGCGGTGTCCAGAGCCCTCAACTCCTCTGAACCATGCTGAAAAGAAGGTACTATGCTACTTGTTTTTTGCATCCTATTTTAATTCCAGGAAACATCCCCAGGTCAGGGAGACCCACAGTGCAATAACAAAGAAATGCAGAGTTTTATTTTGGGCCTGAGACTTTAAAAGAAACTGTTAATAATAAATTCAAAAGGCTGCAAGTGCTTAAAAACAATGGAAATCCAGCAAAACCCACATGGTTCACATTTATTCTGTAGGGAAAATGATTTACATTCTTTCTCCTAATTTTCAAAATAGGATCACTACAGGTTCGTAAGTCAATTTCATGGTTCATTAACAGACATAAACTTCCGTACTATAAAAACAGATTCAATTACCTTTTTACCTGTCAACTTTGGAGCACATAATTTGTGCTGTATTTACATGGATAGTACCATTTGCTTGGACATGGTAACAATACCATTGCCAGTAATGAGTTTCTAAATGTTTATACTAAATAGTAGTGAATGTGTTATCTGCAGCTTCAGGTTTATAGTCCTAAGGAACACATATTTCTTTCTCAAGAGTTTAGTTCAACTGTAAATGTCAGTTTCAACTGCTATTGTAATCCTTTTACTGGAATGTCACACAATAGGATCACCTTAAGCAAACTAAAACAACAAATTACCACCTCAATAGCAGAAAACAAACCAATTGCCATTGGTTTCCATTTGCATCTTTGTTTTTCTCCAACGACCAAAAACAACATTATGGTCTGGGTGCTTAGACCTGCTGTTAATGTGCTATTATGCAAACTGGCCATTAAGAGCACCGGACCTTCAACACAGGATAACTTTCCTTCAATAACTGTGCATTACTTGGTTAACTTCTTAATGCAAACGTGGACACAAGCGCCTACGGTCTAAGAAAACTTTACTTAAAAGGAGCATCTTACTTTCATTTGAAAGGTTAGCTTTAAAGAATTCGCAAATGCATTTCAATTTCCTTAAAACAAGTTAGCCCCACATATCTTGATATCCCACTATACTCTAAATATATATTAAAAGAAACATTCTGGCTTCCAGTTTAGGGTGTGTCAAGGTCATACAGTTGCAATGATTTATGGTTATGAATATGAATTAACCTTCAACCAATCACAGCACTATGAGACAGAACACTTACAACTTCTTCTCATTTTGACTTTATACGCAAATAATGTCAAAATGTGGCATTGCTGGAAGCATGTTCTTTTCAATACATACATATGTCCGTGGTACGTGATCTACCTACTAATGACTATGTTTATTAATTTGCACTTACATTTGCACCCATTTATACAGCCAAGTGTAACAACCTGGGTGAAGTGTCTTGCTCAAGGACACAATAGCTGTGTCTCACCTGGGATTTGAACCTGCTCGTCACAGGTCCAGAATCGTGCCTGTCTCTATGTGGTATGCCATACCCATGAGCCCTTATAAGGGCGAAATAATGTCTGATAATAACAACAACAACATCACCTGTCAAAGGTCTTGACAAATTATTTGTAGCCATTTAAGCCTTGTATACATTACATAATTATTATTTTTTAATCTTTTACCTATACCCTGTAATTGTTTGCTTAGACACGGACACATCTATACATACTGTACATAGCTCTGTATCTTCTGTGCCACACTAGTGCAATTTGTTCAATCTGCAGCTGTCTGGAGAATGTGGACTGGATCAAACCGCTATGCACAGGGTCTTGCACCAACATAACAGACATCACTAGTGTGTGCCACCCATGCTACACCTTACTCTTCATTGGGTGGTCTCTTGTCCTCTTAACACTACAAAAACCCACATAAGCTATAAGCTAGGATAGCTGCTGTGGCTCAGATACGGCAATTATTTATCATCAGTGATGCAACAAAGAAATAGAAAATATTCAAAGCCTTTTCCAGAGAACAACTAACAACGGTAGCTCCTACTTGCAAAATCACCACTGAGGAGTTGGGTTCTTTCTGCTGTCAGCTGAAGGCAGCATCGCAGTGAATTAAACAACTGTGTATGAAACTTTCTCTGCGTAAAAGTGATGTTACCTTATAGAGCCCAAAGAAGCCCAGGTCTCTTATGACTGACAGTGCGCTGACTCGTGGTCCGGTCGTGATCTCCCCAGCCACCTGCAAGCGGATCTTCACGATCTCCAGAGGGTTTGTAAAGATGACCTGCGAGCCCCCAGCCTGGCAGAGAAGGAAGAGACACAAGAGCCGATAATATTTCCCTGCCCTTCCAAAGATAAATTAATTCATCCTTTGGTGACAAGCCACTCTTGTCTAAAGGAGAAAAAATATTCACCTTCTGCCGTAGTATCACACGTTTTTTTTTTCCCGTTTTGTTGAAAAATTATAATTCTTTCCAAGAAACGACATGCATTTCTTCATTCTGCTTTGCCTCAAATGCCAATACAGGTGCTTACTTTATTTCTGAGGCTGTTATAATTATTTGTCTTGTGGAATTTAATTCAGAATATGTCTGCTGTAATTCCCAGTAAATTGTGTTTCCAGCAATCAAACAATAGACTAAATAAAGGAACGAACAAAAAAAAACATGCATTTCCAGTTCAATGGAAATCACTTATTCAAGGCACCTTAACAACTGTATCACATTTTATCTGCTTAAAATCAATCAGATCTTTGAGTCCTCCATAAAGTTATAAAATCACAGACAAAAGTATTTAGGAATTTAATGGGGAAAAAAACCCAAGAAGGAGGCATTTTTTATATCCTTCCATTTTCTAACCACTTTATCCAGTACAGGGTCATGGGGGAGCTGGAGTGTATCCTGGCAAGCAAACCGACACACACACACACACACCAGGGCCAATTATCCAGAAGCCTAACCTACCAGTTTGTCTTTGAACTGTGGGAGGAAACCAGAGCACCCAGAGGAAACCCACAGGAACAAAGGGAGAACACACCAGATAGTACCCCAGGAAATAAACCCAGTGCTCCAATGCTGCAAGGCAGCATGTTAACCACTGTGCCATTGTGCGATCTCTACAATTTCTACATTGTCAGATTATTCTACTGAAAGACAAAGCAGAGATCCTACTACATTCTAGACATGCACATTATTACTTATTATGAGAAAACATGTAAAACCTCATTTATATTTAGTGTAACTATTTGGGCAACCAACATTTCATAAGAAACATTGCTATATTAATCGAACTTTCCTACAGTTAGACTGAAATACAGAGTTGCAATGGAAAAATACACTGGAAAATAAAAACAGCAAAAATATTGACAGCACAAATCCTAGGAATGACCTGAGAATGGCTGTGATAATAAAAAAAAGAATGAGGAATTAACAGAAACCAGGTGATCAACTTAGTCAACCAAAAGACTGTTACAGCAATTCTAAAATAAAGTGCATTACAGCGATACAAGAGTACACATTTGTACAACATACAACATACTGGAGCCAGCTGTTTGAAGCACCTTGCTCATCGGGGCACAACAACAAACTCTCACCTGGGATTTGAGCCTGCAGGTGTCCAGAGACTTAACCACTGTTCTACACTGCTGTGTGGTCCAGGACTGACGAAACACAAGAGAACAAAACCTACCCCAACTACCCCCGGGTAAGGATGGCCAACCAAGGCATCTGCAAAATCTGGAAGAAGAGCTGCTCGGGCAGCCGAGCCCAGGAATTTGACACGAGAACCGAGAGGAGGCGGACCAAACTTTCAGATTTGAGCAGTTTGACTAACGTAACAACAGGGAAGTCAGGATGCAAATATTTGTTACAAACAGTACTCAAAAGGAAGCAATTAGAGGTCTCGATGAAGAATTCTGACCGGTTCTTGAACCACATTTTATGGTTAAGGGAACATTAATAAGAACAAAACATGTTCATATGTTTTGAAAGAAACATTATCAAAACATATCACTGGTGAAAAAGAGGAAAAGAAATTAAATCTCCGGTTGGTTATACATTGTTTGTTAAAAAATCATTAGGCTTTGCGAAGGCCTGTTTTTTTTTTCCTCAGGCACTGGAACCTTTAGATTTCAGAAGGACCAATGAGTGTTGAAAAAGAACATTCTGAGCTCTCTGTTACTCAGTGCTAAAAGGCTTATTGGTCTCAAGTTTGTATTCTAGCAAGATAAAAGAGGTCTACAGCTACCTACAAATATGCAAGATGTCATTTTAGTCTGGCCTTCTCAGGTCCCAGGTTTCAAACCCTCAACATATTGTGGATCAGACTTGAAGGCGGCGGACACGTAAAGAAAGCCAAAGATGGCAATAGCACACAAAACGGAGTATAAATGAGGAAATATTCTACCAAAATACCCAAAAGCTGTAAACTGAATACTGAATTAAGAATGCTTACTTTTGTCAAAGCTTGGTAATTTTTTTAATTCTATTTTATGCATGTGATTTAATATTTTGTTGTTGAATCTATAATTATAACTTATATATTATATGGCTATAAATTATATAGTTTACAGAAAACATCATCTTCTTTGTGTTTTTTCAATTATATCTGTTTGTGACTACAAATACAAAGATTTATACTAGCCTGAATAACTTTATAAAAATGATCTAAAGCAAAAGCCAGAGTTCAGCTCCTAGAAGAAAAGCTTCCATCACACCTGTAATGGAGAATATTAAGAGTTCAGAAGCTTTCTCTAAAGGCAACAGGACCCTCAAACGATTTGAACTAGTAACAGAGTTAAAACGAAGACTTGGGGTGATGAAGATTCTTCACATTTAAAGAGCAGGTCTTTCACACTGCCTTTAACAGGACCAGTAGTGTATTACTTATGATACTGGGCCAGAAATCTACCTCACTGGTGCTCTAGAATGACGAAATAAGAACATATTTACAGTCCTGCTTCAATTTTTATTCTCCCTTTCCTGTTGCTATTAGTTACTAACTTTGTAAGAACAAAGCCGCAAAGCTCAATTAGATAGACATCAGTTTCCATGGGTTTCTCTCCACTACCACACAAAAAAGGCATTGAGTGTTTATTTTCTTCCAGGAGTATGAATGCTGAATTGTTTGTACATTTCTATCAAGTTCAAATTTATTAATTTCCAAATCTGCAGTTTTGTGCATTTACTGGTCACTTTTATAACTGCTACCATATTTTTGAGAAAAGATTTAATCGCTTAATTTAAAGCATGCTTTAAATGGAAAAGAGTAAAACAACCCACCTCTCTTCCAAACAAAATTACAGTAGCAATTACAAGGAGGGAACATTTCCGAGGGCATAATTTATACTAATTTCAATCTTAATTTAAAAGTAAATTAAGATTTTTAAACCTAAAAGAGTCGGTTTATGCGATCACATCTCCTGTAGCTTGATGTTGTTTCTGCTCAATATCATTCTTTATGGAAAGTGGACTACATTCTGTAACTTATGCTAAATTGCTTTATATTTATGGTAAATTAAACAGTCTTTGGAAAGTTGTGCGAGTACAAGGGTGCAGGGAAAGTGAAACAGAACCAGGCAAAATTCTGAAGGTCTCTGGAAAAAGACTTATAATTCTTACACTTATATAGCACTTTTCTGGACACTCCACTCAAAGCGCTTTAAAGGTAAAGGGGATCCCCTCCACCACCACCAATATGCAGCCCCACCTGGATGACGTGACAGTGCACTCACCACACATCAGCTATCAGTGGGGAGGAGAACAGAGTGATGAAGCCAGTTCATAGATGGGGATTATTAGGAGATCATGATACCCCTACTCTTTTATAGAAACGCCCTGGGATTTTTAGTGACCACAGAGAGTCAGGACCTTGGTTTTTCGTCTCATCTGAAGGATGGCGCTTTTTTATAGTATAGTCTCCCTGTCACTATACTAGGGCATTATGACCCGGACAGACCGCAGGGTGAGCTTCCCTGCTGGCCCCACTAACACCTCTTCCAGCAGCAATCTTAGCTTTCCCAGCAGGTCTCCCATCCAGGTACTGACCAGGCTCACAGTTGCTGAACTTCAGTGGGCTGCCAATTGTGAGTTGATAATAAACCTTTACCTGTTCATATTGGTGCCTATCACTATAGCCAGCCAGATGATATAGTTGCTGTTTATAGTGATAGTGATAGACTCTTATAAGATGTAGACCAGAGTAATGTCTTGAGAAACATACTGCTTTTAAGAAAATTACCAATGGAGACAGAAATAACAGAAAGAAAGTCAGAAGGACGAGAAAACAAAATAGCAGGCTAACATTTTAGAAACTGGAAATGACTCCTTATAATCGTATATAATATAATGACTCCTTATAATAGCACTTTACTACACATTAACAAAGCAATTTTAAATGAAATTCTTGGCATCTAATAATAAGCATGCAATGAACCATTAATGGTGGGCAGTTCCTACCAGGTTACTGACTAATGCTCTGTTAACATACTGCTTATACAGCTTTTTGCACTACCACTACAAAAGGGGAATTTGGCATAATCGAAGTTACATAAAAAGCAAGGTGATATAACTTTGCTTGTAAGACTGATTTTATGAGTGTTACCACAAAAGACAAGATGCACTCAGAATACTTGTGAAAGGAGACAAAGATCTGTGCTTTCTAATTCCAGGAGCTCTACTATTGCGCTGTAACATTTTTAATGTGAAAGAACCAGTCGTTTTTGCTAGCTGCTTCTCCTGTCCATAGTTCTCTGCTCTGTGTGCTCATCATGACTGAACTGTGAAAACAAAATGCACGCATTATCATGGAAAGAAATGATTCCTTAATCCGGCGTGATAGACAAGCCTTTTCCACACTAGTATTGCTAATAATTGCATCCATTACTTTGAGTCCCCCCAAGTAGCACAGCTAAGGTTATCTGCCAAGGAAAATCAGAATGATGAAACAGTAAAATCCAGAGACCATCTCCACTTTTTGTTGTCATTAAAAGTAACCTAGTAACGGGTGATATTCTTCTGGCCAGTGTAAAACAGCACACGACACACAGTGGAGCCCAGCTGTGGAACATGTACCATTTGGGAAAACCAGCAGAGCACCCGGTTTTGACAGAAAACAGTTTACAAAACAAAAGGTAGTTTGTTAAATAAAAAGAACAGCTTTGGTTACAAGTGGTGGAGTTATCCGAGGCTGATAATTCCTAGTAATTACAATGCATGGCAAGCTCCCCAGAGGGTTAAGAGTCAGCACCTAGATATGCTTGGGTGACTTGTGGAGTGTGACTGCTCACCTGATACCTGCTCAGAACAGCTCTGTAGGGCTCTTTGTAATGTAACCAAATCCACTCGCACGTACGTTCAAAGACAAACAGAAGCTTTGTGCCAGAAACCAAATATTAGCTATCCTTCATTAACAATCACTTACACTTTTACAGGTACAAACTAAATATTATAACGAGGGTTTTCGAGTGAAAAAGAGCAATTAAACTATTCATAATGAATCTGCACTTACTGCACACAGCTCACGTTAAAAACGTGGTGTCTGTGATGTTAACACAGTTTTCCAGCTATAAGAATCAGTGCACAGAATAATAATTCCTCTCAAATTAACAAAGCTTCACTGTTACATTTCTTTATACCCCTGATTCCTTTTGAAATGTAAGATGCATTTTAGACTAATCCAGTCCTTAAAACGAAGGCCAGCGACTCTAAGATAAGCACTCTGCCAACTTTTCTGTCTGCAAAGCATGAAGTTCTTACCACATAATCATTAAGTCTTGGCAACTTTTACAGATATAATTCAGAGCTACCAATTTAAGCAAGACGAACAGAAGGGCACAGAGCCATTGGATACGGGCCAGGATTTTGGTTTAAGCTTTAAGAGCTCTACTACTTCATTAATACTGCTTTGCTTTCAGTGTGGGCCAATAGCAATTTTCTAATTCCATTTCTTCTACCTCATTTTCCTCTAGTATTGCAGAGCTGTGGCTGTCTCTGACAAAAGACTTCTTCCTTTTTTTAGCAAATGAATCCTGTCTACATTTTGTATTTGCAAAATAATCAACAAATAATGCCTGGGAGCTTACACTACAGAAATACTTTAACTCCGATGAATTCACAAGGTCTGCCAGTGTAAATATCTGTAAAGATCTTGGGTCTTAAGAAATGCATTCACAGAAATCTGCAACAGCAAGTATGAAAAGGCATTATGATTTGACACCACCCCACTTGAAGATCAAGATATTTTCTGATAAATCTGATGCTTTACTGATTTCAGATGAGTTTTGAAGGCATCAAAAGAAGATTAATCAAAGAGCTGTTTCTTTTCTTTCGGTGCTCCTGATGTTACAGGACTAGAAGGAAGGGGGGCAGGGGTATCTTACCTGCCAGGCCCTGACTGGTCACTGATCAAACACAACAGTCGGTTAGAGAGCAGACGTGTCTCACTGTCACATGTGCGCTGCACAAAGGACCAGGCTGGGGAGCCTTCTTTTCAAACGAAATACACGGGCTTCTAATCTACTCCTGCAGCCTTTTTCTCTAACACTACAAAGCCTTGCATAAAAAAAACTCATCGTATCATTTTCCTTCCCAAGTGGCTTCGCTTATTAATTTTGAGGTATTTTTTGGTTGGTTGTAGAATCGTCCTCCGCATCGTCACAATAAAGACATGGGTGTAGTTTTTTAAAAGAAGGAAATAAAGCGAAGGGTCAGCTACCTTGAACGGTCTACATCCTCAGGGGCAGGGGTCTCAGACTGTTTCTGAAGGGCCTGGCATTCCCTGCTTTTTGTTCCACACGAGCTCTCGGTTACATAGTTGGTCTAATTATTTCACTAACTCCATAAATGTAATACTTCCAGCCGAGCTCTGAGTTGCGTTAACAATACCTTTAATGAACTGTTTTTAGTCATCAACACAGGAAAAACACAGAACACGGGAAAAATCCAACGCATGTCTAAGAAAATAACGAGATTAATTGTTTAATGGACTAGGCAGGATAGACATAAAAAAACTACAGACACTCTGTCCTCCAGAAACTGAAGTTGAGACCCCTGCCCCTAGGGAATGCTGGGTTATTTGCTGCTCAAGGAGCTGTATCGTCAGTCTCAATGGGGTGTCTTTGCAGTCACACAGAATAAAAGGAAAGGGTGAGGAAAGGAAAAAAAAGACAAAAATAAAAGTTGCTAACAGCAGCAATCAATATATATATATATAAAATGCTACATTAAACACAAGTCTCTAGAGCCCTGTTTTTGATTATTAGTGAGCATGGAACAGGATACCCAGCCATGCTGTTGAAGGCATTACTTTATGAAGCCATAAAAAATATTCAATAGCATTAAATCAGTGTGGATGAATAAACTCACAGTTAATCAAGACTCCCAAAAATACTGTATGATTTGAATGCATGGATAGTTGAATGTTTCCTAGTTTAACTTAACAGTTGCAACCAATTTGGTCACACCTCTCTGAGAGAAAATTCAACTCTAGTGTAAATGGCTGTTGCACTAGTAAACATACTTTACTCCTAAACTACATTCTGGCAAGCTCTTATGTTATTATTTAAATAATATGATCACATTTTTAACAGCTTAAAAACAGTAATGATGAATGACTGTCTTTTTTATTAAAGAAACAAAAAATTCACAAAATCTGTCATGGAAAAAAAAAAACATTTACTCACACAACCCCCCGCAAGAATTTCTGCCATCACCGGAACAGAGCCATCTCTCTGAATACACTTCCCTCTCACAAAATCATTCACCTTTGAAGCAATAAAACAACAGCACATAATCAAACGTGAGCAGATGAAAATCACACAGTTTGTGTCTTGGATTTTATTCGCTATGAATCCGAAATGTCTATTCTCATGGAACAAGTTCGACTTCCACACAGGGAGTTGGGAAACTGTGAAACAAGCAGTCCAGCCACCTAGCTGAAGCTGAAGCCCTGAATAGTTTCAAGAAATGGCTGGATGTGACCCCCCAAACAATCGCCTGTTAGCAACTAAATGTGCTAAAACTAGAAGACTCTGGGTTTCCCCAGGGCCAGGAGTAATATATAGAGAGACGCAAACATGTCTTGGGCTTTTAACTGCAAGCAAAATTATGAGTTTTCGTTAATGTATTAACGAAGCTCTGTGAAGATTTGTAAAAACTGCACAGTTCAAATACATAATTCCGTTCTGTAAATTTTCATTGGCTTTTAACCAATATTTATATTAAAACATTGACACCTGAAGAAGGCTCCACGGCCGAAACGTTGTGTTTTCTTTCTTCTTTTTTTCAGCATGGAATAAACCTATTACTTGTTCTTTTATATTAAAACGCATTACATGCAATAATAAAATGTATCCCTGCACCACGCTTACATACAAAAAATAATGCACACCAGTTTTGATTTGGAAGGAGCATATGTGGTGAAATAAAGCACTTACTGTAAGTTTAATGGCTTTTTCTGGTGCCACACCCAGGAGCTGTGGTAAAAGGCCTATAATTATGAAACATGATGATTAAAAAAGGAAAAGGCAAGGAAGCATGGCTCATGGGCACAAGAATTTCATCAGTATAACTTTGGACCATCTTACCCAATATTCTATTACCCAGAGTAATGAAAGTGATTGAAGTGGAATGTTTAGACACCAAAATTTAACGGCATTACAAAGTGAAGGAAAAATTGCATTCCATGACATCCTAGTTCATGCAGCCTAAATTACAACACAAAGCCCCAGGCAGATAATAATAAGGAAAAACTCCCAAGTTTTCACTTTAAAAGCCACCTCACACAGAATAACCAACCAACCAACAAGCAAACATAAAACACACAGACTCCACAAAGGAGCAACAAAGGATTCTGCCTTGGGAAAATTGTGGATTGATGGTGAAGTTTTCCTCTAGTGGGAAAAACTCAGGCTCTTATCAAATCACATTTGAATGCCTGCGGAGGAGATAATTCAAACTTTTCATCATCACTTGAGGCTGTTATCCACCAATGGTACTCATGATTTCTTGAGGTTAATTAGACGAGGTCCTGAGACAATTACATCATCAAGCTACTGTTTTTATACAAATCAGCTCCATATGCCCTTTCACACTATTATTTTCAGTATGGAAACACTTAGCAGAATTGAGAAATATTGAAACCGATGGGGTAAAGTAGTTACAGTTTTTAGGTCTTTTTCTGAATTACTTTATGGTGTTCTTCAGTATATTGCTACTTCGAGGTATTTATTCATTGCTGCAATGTCAATGGATCGATCCATAAGGCTCGGAGATACATCTCAGCTCAGTCACATACTGTAGCTACAGTAGCATCTTAATAGAATAATTCCAACAATTTATGGAATGGCAGTGTTTCTCATCGGAGAGATACATGGCCTGCTGCTGTTAATGGATAGCATGTGTGTCACAAGAGATAACCACAAAATAAACTGCTATAGTAGCCACAAACAATTAAGAGCTGAAACCTGCACTTAAGTAATATAATAGAGCAGAAAACTCATAAAGCTTTCGTATTCAACTGCTGCCTTAATGCTGTATCAGAAATAAGAAACACGGTTCTTTAGGAGAACAAAGTTTCACTGCTCTATCTACACCCATCACAAAAGTGTTGATATTAACCAGTGAATTCCAGAGAGAAAATATATTTCACGTTTTCATTAAATCAAGTGGAACGTACAGTACATGCTTAAAAATTATCCAAGGGTCAGTGAACTGGTACTGCATATCCTGAAATAAAATGTCTCCAATGTGTCTAAATGCTTCATTTTACTGAATTGTTTTGGAATGCATATCTTAAGGGATCTATGTTCTCTGAGAGCTTCTTCAGCTCCAGTACAATCTTCTGACATCAAACAAGGTAGGTCATAAGGAGCATGACCCCCTTTCAATACCTTGTCAGGTCTTGCCTGTAGCCTGTGTAGACACTGACCTCTGTACAGGCCAAAGCAGCCTTCATAGCGCAGAACTTTCCTGAAGCAATCAAAGCTGTTCTTGTACATCAGCTCTCCCACAAAGGAGCCCGAAGTTCTCTGGTTCTGCATGCGGGTTTTCACCAGGTCGATTGGATAGACAGCAGTGGCTCCGACTGCTGCACGAGACAAAAGAAACAAACAAACAAGAATGCAACTGTAAACCGCATTCAGGATATCTGGAAAATAAGTGATGAGCCAAACAAAAACAAAGCCAAGTCAAAAGATTGCAAACTCATCAATTATGTCCTTCTCATCTGACAACTTTGCTGATCTACAAAGGGGTACGATGCCGACAGTTTTAATTAAAAAGTGTATCGCACAGCACTACCTCATTATTAACCTGTCTCTTTGTGAAGGCAGTCTGGAGCCAAACAAGACTAAGGCACCACCTCAGAAACCTCTGATCACTGACAGGTACAAAAGAATCCATAGAGAGGTTCCCATGGTACAATCCCACCTCTTATTTACGGAGCGCATTCAGCTCCAGAAGGAGATAGGGAAGGCTTTGTTTTTCCCACAGGGGTTGTTTATGAAGAGGAGGAGTGAGGGGGGGAGGGGGCAAACACACTGATCCATGACTAACCTCCAGCAACTGAACCAAGAGAAAACCTGTAGGCTGACTCTGCTACCTGGACCAGAATAGGCCGAGACACATCTCCCGCAGACTGCTACTCAGACAGAGACACACAGGGAGACAAAAAGACGAGAAAAAAAACACACGTCAGAGTTTTCAGATTACAGCAAACAGCAGTTCACGAGCTCCATGAATCGTCAAGCCTTCCCAAAGCAAAAGCCAAAGCTGAGCTGCTGAGGCTGAACTGGTTTAGGTTCATCTGTCTGTACCTGGGGGGGTTAAGCACAGATAGGGGGATTTTGTAATGTCCTGAAACAGACATTTCTAATAGGCCACAGCAGCTCATGGAAAACTTTGCAATGTGTAGCTTAACACTGCATGCCAAGATAGCAGTGACATTCCACGGGCAACAAAGTGCTGGAGTGAAATGAATCCTCCTCATGCTTGCTTTGTTTACATGCATTTAGGTTCTTAAAAGAAACAAACAGCGGGGCTTCAAGACTTTCCTGTAGTTCTTTACAAAACATGCATAGAGCAAATTCTGTTTATTACTTTCTCTCACAGTATTTAATTACAGAGCACAGACCTCGGCCTGTCACCTGATATCTTTAATGTCTTAAAAAAGAGGGTTGGGGCCTTTTTATCTAACCCAAGCTAAGAAAGGGACTAACTCGGCTTCAAGAGCATGGCTGAATAGATTCTCAAGTATTTTACTTTCTATGATTTTTCAAAAGATTCCTAAAGTTTAGCTTTGGGTAAACAGAGATTATGAAAGCATTCTCTTTTAATACTAGCATATACTCCCAACTCCGTTCTAGCCTGCCCTTATACATTAAAGAGTAGTTATAATTAAGTCCAGGTTTTGTTAGATTTTCCACGGACTTCAGCAAGCTTTCTGCAAAGTGTTAGTTGCACACTCAAAACGAGCACGGTTTTAACGAAGTAATTTTGAAAGAGCGGCAAAGTAGCTAGCAAAGATCCAAGCATTCCACTTCACATTCTCCACTACCTGTTACACAGAACACCACTCACACCCCCCAAGGCAAGTGGCCTCCCATTTATCTTCAAGAGAGGCTGCAACCATACAGAACCACCTGTCAAGGTTCATCAAAGCATTGTCATTGCCTTACTAATGCCTCAGTCACAAAGCTAGAGGCTGCCCTCAGGGATTCCAAGGGAGTTCTGGACTGAAGCCTGAGAGGCCAGACCGCAGCCTAAACCAATCCATTGTGGCAGGACTGGCGTCTCTGCTCAGCCCTGCTCAGGACAGGCTGTTGTAGCAGAACAACTCGCCCTGAGAACTCTTCTGACCAAAAGCGGACATAATGTTTTTTTTCACAGCAAACACATTCCCTCCTCCTCGTTTTGTGGTCTGCGTGTTATAAAATCTTGCCTCAGACTGCTAATTAAAAGTCGCTTAACATTTTCTTTGAATGTGCAGCATACAGTATTTTACAATCAAGACTTTATGCACATTTACAGTACAACAGCGAGGAGAAAAAAAGACCAACAAACCGTATGAGTTGCTTGCCTTACTGATCTTTTCTTTTTCATTCCTCTACCATTGAATCTACTCTCTAAAGATAATTTCCTTTTCTTTTCCTTGAAAATAATGAACATGTGATAAAAAAAAAGCTTTTACCTGGCAAAAAACAAAACCATTAGTGTGTTTAGAGGATTTCCTTCGGGCTACAAGAATCAGACTGCCACAACAGCACTTCACCAGCCTGTCTGATGATTCAGAAAAATGATTTCAATAGCATTTAGGTCTCTGTAATACAATTCAACTAAGTGACAGCTAAACATTTGATCAATTATGTTTTCCGTGAAGAAGGGACGGAGGTAAAAACTTTGTTTCCAAATGCTGATCTGATTAGTATTGTTAAAAAACACATTTCCTATTTCTGTTAAAAACTGTCACAAGACCCTACTTAAATAATCCAAAATTCATAGTTAAGTAACTATTAGTCATCTTTTTTGTAATGCTTTTAAGTGTTCAGACAACTGTGTGTATCCTGAAGCCTTTTATTTGACAAAACATTGGCAGTGTACAATATTTGTTGATGGTGTAGAAAGTTTGAGCCCTGCTCGTCCGCTGGCTTTGACCAGTTCCCAGTTCCTGGACAGAACCTCAGTCACCTCAGTTGTGTGTTTCTCTCTCTTTTTAAAATTCATTTCAAGTACCATGAGCACAAGCTTCCCCACAGTACAGTTCGTCATTACTTCTTGAAGTATGGGTTGAATTAGAAGACAGATAACTGAGAAATGAAGTGACAGCACAAGAAGATAGAACTAATAAAATTCCCACAAACGGTTACATAGCACCGTTCAGTCGATGATAAATTCTGCTTAACATAATTAAAGAAAAAGCATCTTCCTGCACTTCTCATTAATATTGATACCTAGAGGAACCAAAAGTATTTTTATAGTATTCATTACAACAAATAACTCTCTCTTTTTACCTGCTTCTGTGCCTCTGCCAGGTTGTATGGTAGAGTCCCTTCTTCTAATGGTGCAATTCTTTCAATGTCTGCTAACCCAACACGCCTAGAAAATGGGTGACATTTGTTTCTGGTTTCAAACCGTTTCAAAACAAAACTACGTAATTAAAATAAGAAAAAAACAAGCACAAAAGAAAGAACATTTGTACATTGTTAGCTTCACTGTCTGCATGCCCATCATTTTTCAGTGCATAACTTCTCTGAAATATTCCTGGACTGTGAACAGAATTGTACGGATTATGGGAACAATTATCTTTTGCGTCCTTAATCAGGGTCAGTGCCTATTAAAGTATTGAGTTGCATTGAAAAGGGGGAAAAATAATAATCATGTGCACACTCATAAGTAATTCTTTAAAGACCATACAGATGCTAGGAAAGCAAACCTTATACAATACAATCCATTCTTAATTATCTTGTGAAATTTAAAGTCGATAGCTTAGTTCATGAGTAATTATTCTTAGATAAAGGCAGAATGATTTACTGTTACTTTCCATCAATCTACCCCTTTTTAAAATGATTTTGACCACACATCATTTCCTAATTAAGGTCCAGGCAGAGTCATTTTTTGAGATTTTAAAATATTTTTATAGGTTTTAAATAATTTTGCTCAAGTATTTTTGGAGTCTTTGACTCCAACTTACTCCTGCCACTCTTGGATGAAAAGATGCCTTTTTTTACAGGCATTTGCATTTGATTTTGCTTAAAACACATTTTAATTGTGTTTATTGTTTTAAATGATTGTTTTTGGCATAAGACAGTTCTAACAGAACCAAATTATTTCATGAAGCTTTTGTTTCATGAACTTAACCTTGGTTTACTCCTCAAAGCAGTTTTCTTGCACTCACACAGAAAAGATCCAGAAATCCTATTATAATTATGCAGTAAACACTGCATAGCTGATACCCATTACATTACAAAGTTAATGAGATGGATTACCAAAATATGTAAGGTATGATCACTGCATAAAGATGTAATCTAAACAGAGCTAAAACAGAAGACAGATAAGAACTCTACGAATGGAAAATCATGGCTTCTGGACAGACAGAAGCTCTGTTCTGGAAATACAGAACTTGATCAGAGGTTGCGCTGAAGAAGACAGCGAGTTTTCTTCTTGCCCTGTGCTTCACGGGAAATTAATAACGAAAGACAAAAACATTCAAATAAAATTGTGGGTCTCCTCAGAGGCTCAGTGGCTCCTCTGGAATTCTCCTTTGCACTTACCCACGTGGTCTGGACAGGTCAGCCAGCTGGAACAGAATGTCTACCTCCATGGGGGTCACCTGCCCAAATTTCTGAGCTGCTAGAATAAACTCCTCTGCAACAAAAAATGATCAAGGAAGACATTTAAATATTACTTACATAGAAAATGGTTTCCAGATGCCTTTTTTTCCCCCTAAGCCTCAAGATGAAGAGGCACACAAAAAGACAAATGGGTATTGCACGGATAGGAAAGAAAGCAGTATTTGTGCTAACACTGGACACTATTTAATTTAGAGAAGAAGTCTATCCAATATCTACTTATATCTTACTGAAGCAAAGCAGAATGACTGTTTTAAAATGCAGCTTGTGTTGTTACACATTTTCACTGTTGTAAGCAATGAGGTGAAGCTCAATTTACTCTGTGACGGAGAAGCACTGAACCAGTGTCCAGTCAGAGATAGATTAATAAAAAAACATCTCCCCTGATTGTTTTACTCAAGCTTTGTCCTTAGAGATCTTTTAAGCTAATGTGGTAATTTTAGCCTGTTTATGGTTAAGTCTTCTCCAATGGACACACTATAGGACATCAACTTCTATCAACTTGTTTCCTAACCTCTTAGGAAATATGAGGAATATACGATAGCAGAAAACATGCAATGACTACTCATTCTGGTCATTTAGATGAATTCTACATTTTTATCCCATGCATTTGCCTCTGTCAACAGCTATAAAGCAGGGCATAACAAATGACAAAAGAAATGAACAACTTTGCTGCTAAAAATGACTTCCCATTAGTGGATGAATGCATGTCCAGAAAAGAGTGAGAAACATTCCCAGACTCAAAGAAATCTCCTAGTTCAACAGGTTAAATGAAGTGAACCTTTTCAGTCTTGTACACAGAAAGCTATGAAACAGCCATCGAATTATATCAGACAAAGCAAACGGAAAACCATGAGGAAGAACATTAATAGGGGCCCCATTTTGACACAAGGGGGTTGTAGGTCTCTGAAACAACCTAAGCAGCCATGATGTTGATCCCGATGCCCTGGCTTCTTTCAGAACACAGCCGAGTTCTTCAAATCAATTAGCTACTAGCAACCGGACGAGCAAAATGGCCTCCTCTCATTTGTAACCCTCATGCTCTTTCATTTATTTGCACTGCCAACCTCATCACCGAATCAACCGAATGAAACCCAGCCACGCTCCCTGCAGCACAGGTTACTATAAGGTAAGACGAGGCACTAGGGGTGCCCTCTGTTCCTCCTGGCTGGAAACCACGGTGTTTGAAATGTTTGTCTCACTAAACATAAGGTACTAATCAGATGTGGGTCAGCGAAAGGAGGAGACAGAAAGGGATGTGGAAATTTGCACGCATCAGTCCCAGTAGGCCCCACTAATGAAGCCTCCTAGCTGCAGTGGGAACTTTCAGTAGAAGAGGCCAGATTAGACCGATAACATCACATTCCCAGCTTGTAGCGCAGCTTGTGCTATAGCCAGTACAAGTTAAGGAAAATCTTCAGCTACACTGGAAGGTCATTTTAACAGGTTGCCAAATTGGCAGGGGGCCTAGCAAACTTTACAGAGCCCTCTCAAATGCACACTGTTACTTTACCCCACCCCTGGATAACCTGCACGCCAAGGACCACAGAGAAATGCGGGATGGATCAGACAAGCCATTCGTGCTCGGTCAAAGGATGCGTCGCAGACAGTGTAGAGAACGCAGACATCATTTTTACCAGAGCATGTGGGAATGTGTTCTTGTGTGCCTTGGGAAACATCCAGCAGGCACAATCAGACAGAAAGAGAAAGAAATTGCTACTAACCTTTAGTGACTTCAACATCTTTCCTACTGCCAGCCAGTGTTGTGTAGATCTTCCTAATGAGTTCCATGTTGTTCAGCAGAGAATTAAAGCCATTAAAGTAGGAAAAGCTGACCTGGTGGGAAGCAGTGCCACCAGCAACCTAGAGGTTTTGTAAAAAAAGAGAATATATTGAAAGAAATACCTTAATGTACTGTTACCGTTAGGCTTTACTATAAATGCTTACAAAGATTATAAGACACGTAAAATGAATTCCTGCATTTAACATGAATATTTCTCAGAAAAACTACCAAACAGCTAATCATTAGCAGAGTTCTTAACCCTCAAACCCTATAGGGAACTAAATAAATGCACATGTAGGATTACAGCAACAGGACCGGTAGTAATTTAAGAGGATCCAAGCTATAGCGCTGTTTTAATTAAAATGTTTTATGTGATGTGGTATCTAATAAACAGGCAAAAAAAACAACAAAAATGCAATAATGCAGGCATTTCAATCCCAGAAGTCTGACAACTTCTTTTCTCCACACAATGGAACGCATCCTGTGTGGAGGCCACATTCTCATCTCACTGATGGGAGTTTTCGAGGCCAACGTGGACAGAGGTATTAGATTCGCTGTCTGAGCGACAGTGATGGAAAATGTCGTCTCGGATCAGAGTGATGGAAAATGCAAGCGAGACGTGGAAAGAGCTGCAGTCTACGGGGAGGGGACAGAGATGGAAAAAAGAGCCATCCTGGTCACTAGATGGCACTGTAACCTTTGAAGAAATCATGTGAAAAAGGTCCAGGCTTCACACACGGCGCTGGTTTAAAAAGGAACGTCTAAGAACAATAACATAACTAGTAAGCTCTTGCTCATTTTCTGGGATGTGTGATGAGTTAAGCATTAAAGAATGCATTTCAGGGAACTCCAAACTTTCTTACTTCTGTCTGAGAGCCCCACAGAGGATCCACAGGCAATATGCTCATAAACTCCGGGACAGACAAGGGCAGTCCTTCCCTTGCAGAGCAGCACCCATCTCAACTAATTATATTCTACACCAAAACATGAACTCCGTGGGCCCTGTACTCCAAACACTCATGTACATTAATCCACACAGAGGCCAATGGCCACTTAAGCACTTAAATGTGTTGAATGTAGGGCCCTAGAGCTCATAAATTTCATATAATCCGTAATGGCAAAAATCTCACATAATCCAATGACAGCATAACGTATAACAGAATCCAGGGGTCATGGTCTTGTATATGGTTTTTTCATACTGCCTCGTAAAATTCCAGTGTGTTCCAGCGTAGGAAAATTAATCAAACTGACAGTTTGAAAAAAAAGGCCTTTTTAAAATTTTCAGTTCTCGTTAGTGAGATTTAAGTGGTAAACATAACCCCCCTTCATAAAAGGAAGAAATTAGCGACGTAAAATTTTCAGATTTTTCTTAAGATACTTTTTCACAAGGAACTGTTTGCTTCATTTATTTCTAATCATCTTGGAAAGCTTGTTTTGTAACAGATCCAGTTTCCAAACCTCTCAGTTAAGAACCCAAAGAAAGTGATGGATTGCAAAGCCATCATGGTTATCAATGGTGTTTTTGTGCAAGACTACACACAGGAATAAAGTGGATGTCTCCTGGCAAGCTACACGTACAGTAAATAACGAAAGCAGCAAAGACAGGTAAAAAATATCAAACAAACTGTATGATCTACATTGTGATTCAGACTATGAGATTGAAATAATTAGCATTTTTTATTTTTTGTTCTGACGATTGTTAGATATCATACTTACAGCAACTAGGCACTCTTCTACAAATGGCGTCAGCATGTGAGGTCGGATTGTGACCATAATGTCCCTGAAATCCAGTGCTGTGATGGTTCCAGTCTTGGCTTTATCCCTCTGTAAAAATGCTTGTCTTGCATGCTCAAGCTGCATTTCCTGCAGAGTCAAAGACACACACTGGTATCATAAAACTCAGACTGGTATTACAGGGTTTCATAAATCAAAACATTAACTGCACAGAGCATGGGTTCTTCAGGCTAGAATTCAACCTTCAAACATTTCTTTCAAAGCGCAGTTGTTATTGGAACAAAGAGACTGTCAGTGAAAATAACACAAAAGCATGTAAAAAGAGAGGAAATAGCACACTCCATAGAAATATTTTTATTTATAGTGTGAAGAAAGCGAATCAAAAGACACTAATTACCACAAAACCTGTAGTTACAATAAATACAATTTCCTGTTTTGAGAAATGTCACCAAGAAAATGTGACCGCATTCTCAACTGACTTGTCTGGGTAAATAAATGATCAGATCTATATACATGGTTACCGCTTTGAGAATGATGCAAGGCAGATCTCTCACACACTAGCTCGGCAGGATGATAAGGATTAACTGGTTCTCCAACTCAAGCGTTGTGTATAACAATACAAGGAGTATATAAGACAGGACAAATCTGCCTCCTGATGGATGTAGCTATTCCAGAGGATGCTAGCTTAATGCTGAAGGAAGTAGAAGAGATACTTTTCTACAAATGCGGAGACCTAGAACTTCGAACAAACGCCGAGCGCTTCGGAACCGAGAGGCTGCGTAGAGCTAAGATGAGAGCAGTGCCTGTGGTGAAAAGGTCTCAATAAACACTCGGTGCCACTTCCTGGTCAGTCACCACGTACGAAGTGCTGACACCCAGAGAAAAGCACTGGAATAAAGCTAAACCTGAGGACTCTGGAGGAGTCCTCACGGACTTCACAGATCACCTTAAAGGCTGTGATTCCAACTATGATCATCATAAAATGTTATTTGTAAAATTTTCAAAGCACTAGGCAACAGCATCAAACTTTAAGCCCCAATCTTTCTTCTCCGTGACTTTGAGCCAGCAGTTGGTGGAGCTGCAGTCATGTTGTACCTGTGCCAGCAGCTGTGGCTTACTGTAAATGTCATAATCCTTAATTAAATAGACCCCAGGGCATATTCACCACAGTGCCCTCATTTTAAATCACACCTTAAAGCACAGACCAACGGAGGTTTGTTTAAGCTCCATGTAAATTGTTTTAAGACTGAGACCTACAATACCGCAGTTAAACAATTTACTAAATATAACAGGTCAGCTCAGGAAATTACTCAGTGTGGTTTTGCAAAGTTATTAAAATAAAATGACAAAAACTACAAAATGGCTATCATTAGACCACAACAGCTATTAGTCTGCTGCTTGATATTGAGGAACCTGGGAAGAAGAAGATTAGAGCAGTGACACGTGCCCAGATCAAAAGGACATTTGGAATTGTGGAATTGGTCCGTTAAAGCTACTCTGTATTTTTTTTAATTTTTAAAAGCGCTTTATATTTTATATTTTAACAATAATGCAGGGTAAAAAACAGAGCATATTAAAAAATGGAACAGATTTTATTCACGATGAACCATTTAGTGCGTTTTGTCTTCTGAAGTTTACTTGTTTATACAGTACGGTAAAATGTCGAATATTTAAATAACATACATGCTGATAAAACTGTGGAACCCACGTGCAATTTACAGTATATTAAATCAAGTTAAAAAGACTCTTGGCCAGTACCTGGCCCATTTGCACAGATAAATTATCAATACAGTGGGCACTCATGTTAAAAAGGTGTAACAGATTAGGTGCAAAAGTGGTGACAGATTGACAGAATGGGTGAAAGGCCTACCTATTATTCTATATATTACATATTGACATCTACACCCAGCTCTCTTAGTGCAGCACTTCATCACAGAGTGTTGCATGTCCACTGCTAAACGGTCACAGATTTCTGAGGGGGTATTTACTTTTTTAAGCTTGCGCTGTACAAGACTGAAGATAAAAGTGCTGACCAGATTATTCTGAAAGTGGTCGACAAGACTTTGCAATGCATAAAGAAGCCATAACAAGGTTCAGACATGTAACGGGAACGTTTTTGGCACAAGAACAATCAGCTCAATATGATTAAATGTGCATCCAGTCATGTGCTAACTGCCTATTCCCGATTCAGGGCCCCAGCAGAGCTTACCCCAGCAAGCAACGGGTGCAAGAGGGGGTACTCCCAGGGCAAAGCAGGGCGGACACCCAGACACCCACCAGGGCCAGTCTTCCCACAAGCCAATTAGCCACCCGTATATCTCTGGGAGGAAACTGGGGCCCCCAGAGGAAAGCCACATGAACCCGGGGAGAACACACAAACTCCACACGGCTAGCACCCCAAGCCCGGGACTGAACCTGCGAGGCAGTGACACTAACCACTGCGCACCCTGTCCACAACAAGTCAACTTCTGTCCAACCAATAATGACAGAATGATTGGAGTCTTTCACATCTAGAACACTTTTGCAGCCTTGTAAAGATGTACCGTATATCTGGCTGATCCAATCTGTAATACGACATCTTTCGCACTATCCTAGCTCAATCGCAGACAGCTTGCCTAAGGACTGGTGGTACTACACAGGGCACGTGGACCTGTCTCCCCATCAGGTTCGAAACAGCACAAGTCTATTATAAAGAATGCACACAACGTCTCATCCTGGTTTCTAGTACCCACACCCCACCTTTTAGGAGTCCCGACACATTACCATTACACTGTGCGCCCCCTTTATAAAAAGTGCTCATTGCGTATACTGAGGGAGAAAAAGTGTGTTTGTTACATTTACATCAAATATTTGTTTTGATATAAAAAGAATTACATGAGGTGAATTTCTAAACTACCGATTCCTTACAAAGCAAGAAATGCATTTCCTTTTGGACACCGACATAGAAATCCTGTGCATGGAACAGGCCTGTCCTGACTAAACATTTTCTGAAGTAAGCTTAAAAACCCATCTGGTCCAACTTAACTAAAGTATAAAAAAGGACTCAAATATAGCAAAACTAGACGCAAACTTGGCATGTCCAAAACCTCCTGCTGCCTGTTTGCAGGTCTAGACATTATATTAGAAAATGGCTCACACACCAGGAATACAAAAGGAATGGTGCCGAGCCACTGATAATATCATTCATAACAAAAAACTTTTACCTGGTTGCAAGAATCATTTGGTAACAATATTACGTCATGTAATAAAAGCCAACTGTTCCCACAGAAACACGACCTCAGTGTTTCATTAATGGCTAACAAAATCAATATGTGTTATTGTGCTGAGAGAAGCCGACACAAGACAACTTTGTTTTGGCCCACACTACTTCTACTGAACACGACCTCTTCTAGGTTTAGTGTGTACAAACCAAATCCGTCTGTATTTACAACAAAAACAGATCGATCTTTTCGCACACCTAGTGAATGGAAGGAAGCACAGCTGGCAATAACAACTACTGTACAAGAAGCTGTGAGAAAACAATGATATGTTAGTGAACATCTTCGCCTTTAGGGAAAATAATAAAACACACGGCACACAAAGATAGAAAAAAAATTAGAAAGGTGCAAAAATATAGAATATCGGATAAATCATTGCACAGATTCAAGTTGTTCAACATTAGCGTGGATTCAGAGAGGAAACAAGCTGGAAGAAACTGCAAACCCACCAGGAGAAACTGTGTGAACTCAGAGTATGTGAGGTGCTTCTTGTGATCCCTGCCAAAGTGCAGCTGCATGAAGTCCGAATTCCAGTTAAACGGAATGTGCTGATGAATTGTGGTCTGGCTGAAAACCTGCTTCACATCCTCTACAAGAAAGAAGAAAAAAGGGCTTCATTAAAAATAGGGGTGTTCAGCCATTAAGATGTCATGAATACAGGTAATATAGGAGAAGAAACATAATTCTGAATCATATGGCATAATACATCTATTTCATTTTTCAGACCATCTTAAGCTCTAGATGAGAGTATTCTAATTTGCCTCACTTCTAAAATGCAGTATTCCAATTCCAGTTTACTTGCTTTCAGCAATTAATCTTTTATAGAAATGGCCATGACGTTTCAGAGCTCAGAGAACACAAATCCACGATTTCCGTCCAGGAAAAAAGGTTTAAGTCTCCTTAACCCTACAAAAGGAAACCACTTTACTTTTCTTGTGTTCAATCATATACTTTTGTAAAAAGACACCATTCCGGGATTCCCCGTCTAATTCCCATGGCTTGTTCTTAAATGACTGCCTGATTGTACGGTATCTTAAATCTGAAAACCATTTTCAGGTAATTAACAAAGAGTTATTTTTGCATTATTTTTGAAGTATTCATTTCATGTATCAAATATTCCTGGCATTGTGGGTTACTACTACTGGAACGCAGTAATTAACAAGCAAATTTTTTGAGGAAGTCAATCATTTGAGAATTGAAACTAAAACACAATACAATGACATCCAGACTTCCCTTAGGCTATGAATTGTGATGCCTGAATTTCAGATCTACGTACCAAATGCACACCACAACTGCTGCATGTCATGAATACTGATTTAGCATTATGTGCCCATAAGTACAGTTTAAAGTGACGAAACTGTAAAAAACACAGACAAAAGGTTTCCACTGGGCACTGAAACCATTACCCTTTCCATACACCTTTAACTCGAAATGCTCATCTGGATCTGGGTATAGACCTTGAATATAAGATATGTGGAATCATTGTAGCAGCTTCTCCACAGTGAAGCGGACATGAGTCTTGGCAGTTCTGCATCCCATCTGAGACAGCTGCATGCCTCACATTCTCCCTTTTACCAAACCCAGATTTTTTAAAGCTTGCCAAACAGGTCTGGAATACCTTGTTTCCCCAGACACTATCAAGGCATTTATTTTCTGCTGCCCAATATGCTGCTTTTCCTCTTAATCGTACCTGCCACAGTGTCTAATTTGCCAGCCAGATGTGTAGTCATATTGGCCAGGCTGCTCCACCCAGTTGTATCCATTGAATTAATAAATATCATTTCCTAAATCACTTGCTACATAATGGACATCATGGAAGCAAAGGAACAAGTAATAGGTTTATTCCATGCTGAAAAAAAGAAGAAAGAAAACACGTTTCGGCCGTGGAGCCTTCTTCAGGTGTCGTCGTTGTGTTTTCTTTCTTCTTTTTTTCTGCAGGACTAAACCTATTACTTGTTCCTTTGCAGCCTACGCATGCTGACGCAGCTCCCCAACTGAACTGTCATGGAAGCAATTCCTTTTGTATGTTCAGATTCACTTCCACTCTTTTTATACTTAATTCATTTTAGATTTAAAATTTGAAATATAGCACAGTACAACAATCATCACAGGAAGGAATATTTATTAGAAAGACAAATGATATAACTTAATAACAGAGAGTACTAAAAGTATGTTACTGTATATACTAATCGTTACAATTCTAATAAACTGATGGTAGAAAATGAGAAAAAGTAAAGAACAGTAGGGATAAAAAGCTGCAATGACGTTTATAATATTTACAACTCACACACAAACTCAAGGTAAACTCTGAATGTGCAGCCGATATGAATCACTGTAGTAGCTTATCCATCACCTTTACCTATCAAATCTAATTATAACTCAGTGTCAGGCGTCCCACATCATTAATATCACTTATTCCTCGCTACACTTAGATCCATTATAAGAAAGCAGCTGAGTTTTGTTAGGGGTTTTGTCAATCCAATGCCAATTAGACAAATCATTAGCGCTCGGCTGGACTCTACAGATCCATGAACCTAAAACGCTCCTCTTTATACCATAATAACGTAGCAATAAAGTAAAAACTATGAGCTAAAATAAAAGAGATAAAGTTTTGTGCACAGCGTGCAAAAAACATTCAAAGAACAGAACAATAGAGAGACTTCTAAAGAACAGCGTAATACATTTCGACTGCATTCTGTAGGGTTATTTAAAAGCAAGGTTTGTCATATAACTGTCATTATGAAAGAGTATTAGATAATCTGCCTACTGCTTTCTAGGATCACTGAAAAAAGCACAGCCTCAAGCAAAGGGCTGACAAAAACTGAACGGGCAAGGGGTTCTTTTTTTGGTTACAGCCTTATGTTCTTAACTTTATGCATGTGTACATGGACCACAAATTTCAAAAAGTCCTCTGTTAGAGTTAAAGCAACAAAGTGCTGGAGGCTTTGGCCAAATTTTTGAGTGCAGAACTAAAACAATGAAATTGAACAATCACAATGCACCACACTGCTGAAACCATAGTAAAATCAGGAATGGTTTGGAATAATGCTCTGCACATGCAGTAATGGCAGGATAAACATTTTAAGTAAAAAAACAAACATGAGTGTTAGCATTAGAGCAACTTTCTATTTATGTAACAACACATGCTGTTGCTATTGTAACACACATACAACATATAAAAACATAATGAAATATGTTATTCAGGCACAAATGATATTATCAGCTATATTATTTCAGTTCATGCAACACTTTAACAAGGGAACAAAGTAAAAAATAACAACAAAAACATCTTGAAAATATGAATCTGTTTCTTATTATGAACACATACACAGTGTTTAAAAGACCTATCGAAATTAAGTCTGAAAGTTTTGCCCTGGCCATACATCTTTAAAACAAGACAGCTCAAGCTGCTTTTTCCTTTTTAATGAGGTAGTAAATATACAGTATTGCCACAGAGAGCAACACTGCAGAGTTATTTCAGCCCCTGGATTTATATTATCAGCTTTTATGTACTTGTCAACACGCTGTACAAAAAAGCAAAGCTTTCTGTTGTTTTTTTTTCATCTTGTTGGCTGATGTACAAACAAAGCAGTATGGATTTCATACAGCAAGTTTATTATAACTCTGTCTGACTGTTATTACTCTATTAAGAACAGTAAGAATAGAAGCTTAAATCTTTTGAAACTTCTCTTTCAATGTCTAGCTTGGAAAAAAATATTCAAGGCAGTTTTCAAATAACGTTTGATTAGTTCTTTCAGAATAGCATTTCAAGTTTGGAAAAATAAAATTCACTCCAAGACATCCCAGCTTTATAAATTATAGATTGCATATCGCAATTACAATTCATCATTTGGGCACAGTTAAAGTATTGAGTAAGTCGTGAAAACCAACAATGTATTGTATTGCAGGTTTGGGATATATTGTTAGTATTGTTGTATTATGAACCAGTACTATAAAAGATTCATAGGTTTTTCAAAAAGTAGCAGCTTTTCTTTTTTACACAGGCTTTGGTTAGTTCTTTCATCCATACAAACTTCTACCCATTATCCAAAGCTGCTTATTTTGGGCAAGGGTCACAGTGATGCTGAGACTACCCTGAATCACAGGGGTCAAGATGGAAATACACCCTGGATGGGACAGCAGGTTGTGTGTGCAGGCTACACACAGCCAAGAGCACACAGGGACAGTTTAGAGGCACCAATTATTAACATACACAGCATGTCTTTGGAAACTGGGAAGAACACCAGAGCATCCAGAGTAACCTCATGCAAACATGGAGATAGTTCTTTTCATTAACTGAAAAATTATTTTCAGACTAAACTGCTTCTATTTTTCTGGCTTTGGATAGATCTTCTCTCTAATTTCACACAGCTTCAATGTACCATTAAGCACATTCATTAACCTTTAAAAAGCACAAATAAACAGCATACCTTTTTTAATTATAATACCCAAATGTCTTTTAATTAAATATTTTTAATTAAAGCTTTTAAATTTGAAAATTTAAATATGTGCATAAAATCAGCTGTAATCATCATACTCCCCACTGACTAGAACAATTACAGCAATATTTCCTTTTCGCTTCTGCTTGTGCTAAAGTTCATCGCATTTCAAATAAAGTTGGGTGGTAGATAAACATGCAACACTAGTGACAAGGCAAAATAAGGTCATCTAAATTAATTACAGAATCTGGGATTCGCATGTTAAATACCTAATCCCACAATACCTCCTCTTCACATTAGTACTTTGTACCATTAAGGTAAGCATGTCAATCAACCTGTACAGTATTCCCACAGAAGCAAATACCACATATTCTCGGCAGAACAACTATCATCATTTAGTCAGTCATGTTAATGGCACCCTCCAACTTGCAAGACAGCTTTTTTTAGTTATTTTGTAACTTTTATGAAGGCAGTTCATATATGACATGAGGATGTATCAAAAACAAGTAGAGGCGTGTGGAAAATAAATGAGTGCAGTGTGTTTAAAACAAGAACAGTTAAGTAATGACACATCCTAAATCTGGGTTAGATTCTTTTAATTAATTGACCAATTGATTTGTCCTTTAGAACCATCTTTTTGTCGTAATTTTAAAACAGCTAATGAAGACTGGTTCTAGTACACCAAGTTAAGGTGTTCAATTTAAAAAAAGGCACAAAACGCATGTAATTATATGTTCTGTTTGTTACAGTACCTTCTCAATACGAACCAAGGGCCATTGGTAATGATTTTCACGTTTGGAAGAAAAATCATTGCCAGGACAGTAGGGGAAACCCATTTTAATTTGATTCTCAAAATGCCAAACATGCACTTCATTTCCTCAGTAAAACCTTTGACATTTTCTCCCCATTGTAATTTTTTTTTCTTCTAGGCCACTGAAATTTCTTTTAAGTATCTTAAGCAGAGAATCTGAAATGTTAGAGTTTTCCCGGGCAAAGAAAATGACATGAACAAAAAAAAAAACATTAACTTAAATGATTGTGTGTATTAAAACAAATCTTCCAGTGGCTGTTACAAGGTCTCGGTATAGCCTGGAAACTTTCACAAGACAATATCATCAGTGACATTTCATACCGCAGATTGATCAGACATCACAGGGCTTCTAAAAACTGCCGAACTTAAACACTATTCTTCAAAAATCTAACATTGAACATTTTTTACTAAATTAAGAATCAAGTCTTGGCCCCAGAAAAGCCAACAATGCAGAATTCGTATGAAAAAAGTAAAAAACTATCGAAAACAAGATCACATGCAAACAAAGAGACCAATATGGAGATTTTACAGAGCACAAACCATTCAAAAAGACTTGGATCCAGAGCCATTTCTGCTCCTATACTCCGCAAGGTCTCATATTATATAGTACCCCACATGGATTAAACACCACCTCCTGGCCTGTTGTTTTTACTTCTGCACCAGTACCCCTTCAAATTAGCAGTTGCAAATATTACTGACTCAACCGCGACTGTACATAGTGCCCTGGTTACAACAAGCAGTCCACTGCCTCTCAATACACGGCCCGATTAGCACTGCTTTGAAAAGAAGTCAAGCGAAAATGTAGACATAAATGGAAATTTTACACATTACACTGTGTACACAAACCTTTATATGCCTATATATATCATCCAGGTGGATGCTGCACATTATACTTTATAATTTGCATCGCATGAAAGAGTGAGCTCAGAACGGAATTTAGTCAAAATACGGGGATTAGCACCCCTTCTCTTACTAACAGTGTCCTGATCTCTTTAATGACCGAGTAGTCTGCATCTTAGATTAACTCGTCCAAAGGACGAACAGTGTCCCTTGTTACCATAGCGGCATACTGGTTGAAATATTCTGGTCCACCAATGCCACTAACAACAGCAACCTGGATCTCACTGGAGGCCTTCCACCTGAGCAGATCAGGCTAACAGACAACAAGCAGGAGGACGGGATGCTTTTCTGTTACAACAGTCCCGGACTACCCACTGAGACTCAGGTCTGCGTACATCCCTGAGAAAATGACATAAACAGCATCGTCTAGGAAAGTGGGAGAGGCAGTGTGAGAGACCGCCAGTTTGTGCAGTGCAATATAATTTTTAAAGGCGGCTCCTGTGCTTTAATTTTATTTTTGTTTCTAAACCTGTAATCCTCTAGTTTTTATAACAAGGAGATGCACAGTATTTTTCACATCATGGCAGAGTTGCTAAGCCCAAAGACGCTGAGAAGAGATACATTGGACAAATATCTGCCGATTTCTTTAGTGGGTCTATATCCTGCTAAATTTATAATTATAGAGAGTGGCGTATGTCAGCTGCACATTTAAAAGGCATCTAATGTTCATATTGTGCTGCGCAAGTACTCATACGTTTGAGAGTACTTGGGACGTGCTCATTATTATATACAGAGGTACTCACCAAAAGTTGTCTCCCCATTGCCTGTTTTATCAAACAGCTGGAAAGCGACCAGAAACAGGGCATCTGGTGCACACAGCACTGACTCAAATGCCAGGAACTCCTGAAAAGAAATCATCCTGAAAGAGGGAGAAGGAAATAAGAGGGAAAAATCAGATTAGATTTGTGCCATTTGTTGTCAGAGGTTATCTGCAAGCATGTAGCCTCTGACTGCACAAGACTGTTGTCTTTTACATCTCAGCATGTACATGTAAGGACTATATAAGGAATATAATTATATTTAGATAATACAATTATACAATGTTAAAGGAACGAACTCAACGCAAAATGACCATAAGGTCTATGAGACATAAAGCAACAATTTTGGCCAAGGTGAGTCTTATTACTGACAAAGAAAGAAGAAAAAACAGCATAACAGGTATGCTGTGGAGTGAAAGGTATGATTTGATCTATACTGCACATTCAATTGTAAAAGGCACTTTCAAATGACAGTCCTCATAACACATACAAGTTATCTTTCTATTGATTAACAAATCTGTGCAACTCCATTACATAAAATCAAATCAGTTTCTTCCAGTTTCTGTGATGTACTGTATGTGTCCATGTTCTTTCACTGACAGCAAATCTTTTTTTATGACAGCATACTTTCATGGCAAAATAAAATACTTGTATTGTGTAAGGTAAAGTCTTTTTAAGAGCTAAGGGTTTGCGAGTTGGTAAAACCATAAAAATTAATTACAAAAAAGAACCTATGGCAGTAAAATGAATGTAAGGGGGAATATTAATTAGTAAATCTGTCAGTTATTCTGAAAGCAATATCTCTGATGTACTAACACCCTAATTATGGCCAATGCTAAAAACAAAACAAAAAAAAATAATTATTTTAACATATCAGGTCTCATTCATATAAAACTTTCACTTGACTTCACAATGCTTTATGAAAAGCATTCCATACATACGACACGGAACAACAAGAATATTCCCATAGAAGAAGTCAGAAAAGAGCATGTTTTAACAAAGAATAAAAAAAAAATACACGTGGGACCTACAAACACCAAAATATTGGTTCAGTTCTTATCTTCATAAACTGGAGGTTTCGGAGTTTGTTTTTCATGACCACAAAAATAAATGAACTCCAGTTCAGATCCTCAGTAAGTGCCATGCCATTGGTATTCCTACACAGAATAAATCTTGGGAACTCAGTTCTCATAACGTTGTAAATTACTCTAAGTCCCCCAAAAAACCTATTATGGATTCGTAATGACATAACAGGTTACCGGTTGAGTATAAACAGGTATTTAGATTTTCAATCAGTTAATGCAGTGAAAAAGGCACCACAAAAGCAAACCAGGCAGTCAGTTATTTATTTAAGTTCAGTTCAAAGTTGTCTGAACTCCATTAAAAATCTCACAAATGGAAACAATCATTATGAGAGGTCAATATTAACGAACAGGCTCAGTAGCATGCATCTCTAATTTATTTCAATTACCAAAAAGCAATTATTATGTTTTGTGGCTACACTAATTGTTACTTTTGAAATTGAGTTGTACGCTTACAGCATGAGAATGATGCACACAGTGAAGTAAAAGTAATGCATTATCAACACTAAACTAGCAACAGTGAAATAATTTAGAACAATTACAAAGCTGATGTATTTTTTGTTTTTGTTTGTGGCGGGGGTTGAGAAAACAACACTGAAAAAAATAATGAAAATTCCAGCACATTGGTAATATTTTTGCTGGTCTCCAAGTCTCAAGTCACATGGACACATTTTGTGTCAAATGAAAATGATTTACATAAATGTATTTTAATATGAATTCTCTAAAAATATGACCCATACTGCTCTGTAATTATTAGAAGTAGGAAAGCAGGAAGCAGAAGTAAGGACCATATACTGCTTGCTTGTGCACCTTATATGTTCAACTACATCCATCAAGACTGAAATAAAAAAACTAAAACAATTACTCAACTGAAGATTAAAGACCTGTCTGCATTATGAAATGAATCTGACAGAATTTTGTTCACTTTTTTCTTACTAAATGTAAAGTTTGGAATATACCTCCAGTCAGCAAACAACTGTCAACCTATCACTTACCACACAGTATTTGCATGAAGTCTGTGTTCGACTTTTTCTTGATGAATCAAGAACTGACTTCTGTCAGTGACATATCCAAAGAAACTGTATACTTGAAACCACGAAAGTGTGTTTGGGCAAAGTACAGTGATGGTTTTTCAGTTAGAATATTCAGTGAAACGAATAACGCTGTAAATCTGTACACTGAAAATGGTATACAAAAATACACAATGTATGCATTGTTCTACATTGATTGCATCTGAGATTAAATTTATGATGGCTGATTAATACTGCCTTACTCCTGAAATCACAAAAACACTGTTTAGTATTAAGTAAATTAAGACCACAGTTACCAAACTATCACTCTAAGATACCTCTCAACCAATCAGCTTATGTGGCAGAGAACCAGGAAGTACATGTTTGATTTTAAATATAATATTCTAATTCATACATTTTGTTATGGTTTCTGCTACAGTCAATTCATAAATGGTTTGAGCACGTACTGAACAGAATCACAGGCACAGTTTTAATCAAAATACAGCATAGTTCAGATGCAAGCAGCATGTTAATTTTCTTACTAGGCTATTTTTTTTATCACAACAGAAAAGATTTGGTGCAACTTTTTGACAATCTTGGCCGTCGTTGGAGATGAGTCAATTCACAGAGAAAGCAGTTTGAACACCCTCATTAAATGTTCATTACTCTTGGTCTGGCTGGGGAATGGATAAGCCCCAGTTTTGCAGGAATATCACCCTTATGGTGACAGGTGACTCATTTTGCAAGATGTCCAGATGTCCTGTGTCAAAGGGTCTTTAAGAAGCCGGCTTCAAGATCACAAAAAATCAGGATGGTGTAAAAACAGAATGGATAAGCCCATTTTTTTAAAAAGGGGGAAAGCGTTATTCCTGCCGATTCACCTACTTTCCAATGGGAATGGAAAATGATAGAGGCATTCCCATGCTCTTTGACACCGCTGTGCGGGACAGAAACAGTGAAGCTAAAGTGTCACTCATGGGAAAATGATACAGCCCTGTGGGTGTCAGGTAATGCTCAGGTGTATTACGTTTGGTACAGGAAGACGAGAATCATCAAGCAATTTCTAATCAGCCCAGTGGTGGTGCTGCTTGGACGGTCCCTCACTGCCACACTACCAGAACGTGAATGTGCCTTACAAATGTAAAGAAACTTCTGTATTTCATTAGGCCACATACGATGGTGTGCAAACATAACACTCGGATTTCTGGGGGGGAATTATGTTTGCTCACTTAGAAACAACATGAACCTCCACCATCGCCACTAACAACACTTTTGAATTTAGCCATACCACCAGCAGCCAGCAGCCATATCACCCTGCAACTCACAGCTGGCAGCCCCTGAAGCTCAGCAGGTGTGAGCCTGGTCAGTACCTGGATGGGAGGCCTCCTGGGAAAAACTAAGGGTGTTAGTGGGGCCAGCAGGGGGCGCTCACCCTAAGGTCTATGTGGGTCTTAATGCCCCAGTATAGTGATGGGGACAGTATACTGTAAGCAGGTGCCGTCCTTCAGATGAGACGTAAAACCGAGGTCCTGACTCTCTGTGGTCATTAAAAATCCCAGGGTGTTTCTCGAAAAGAATAGGTGTGTAACCCCGGCGTCCAGGAAGGGATCCCCATTATCTGTAAAGCGCTTTGAGTGGAGTGTTCGGAAAAACGCTTTAGAAGTATAAGCATTTATTATTATTTTTATCATTAATGTGGTTCATGTTATTCTTCTTTGCTGTTTAATACTAAAGACTATAAGAATATAAATACATAAAACAAATAAAAAACATTATGTACCAGAAATAATAGTGTTGCTGTATAGATTTATCACTGCCAACCAGGGGAACAGGCCCTGATGAAACCTTTCTGTGAGTGCTTGCATTAAAGGCCATGGATGCCCAAGACGTTACTGAGTGGACTTGGCCATTCATGGCTATTTTCCCTGCATGATGTCTTACAACGTCTTAACTCCTCAAAGGCCAGAGCTTTCTTCCTTCAAAAAGCTTTCAAACAAAATGTCACAGAAAACACAAGAAATATCGTGCAGCATGCTCCGCCTCCTACGGAATACACTGCCCTCCTATTTCACCTCTGAATTTCACACGCAGCGTGAGGGTTATGGATGGTGTCGGCAAACGGACACAAGAGCTCATTCAAAGAGTCTTGCTGCGCAGACCCCAACACTCTTCGCAGCCGAATTAAAAAATAATAATAATGATCCCTGGAAATGATCTTCAGCTGCAATCGTGTTTTCCTGTTTGTTCAAGAACATGTACATCCCAGGCTCACTGACTAAGAAGTAAGGTTGAAAACACGAGGAGCCCACACAGCCCATCCTGCCCACTTGGCAGCTAGTGGCGAACTGACCTGAGGATCTCATCCAGCTGTTTTCTGAAAGAAACCAGCGCTAAGGTTTTGGCTGCCAGAACATGGGCTATGTAGATTGTTCCAGACTCCCCAAACGCTCTGGGTAAAGAACTACCTTCCATCCTCACTCTTTCCTGGTCGCAGGGGCCCATGAAATTTCCACCTGTGACCTCTCGTTTGTGTTGCAGTGTGGACACACAAGGCGTATGCTGAATTGACATTCTCTGCGTCTTTGAGGATTTTGAATATTTGGTCCCCCTCACAGTCTTCTCAGATTGAGACTACAGGGATTATTTAATCCCAGCCCTTAAACTCAGCAATCCAACTGACCCCAGAGAAGCAATATTTCCCTTGGAATGGGGTGACCAAAATTGTTCACAGTCTTCTAAATGAGGTCTTACCAGGGCATTATTCAATTGTTACCATAACATTATTTGATTGAGGTTTTATGCTTTTAACTGCGCTTTGTTTTAAATATTATGCATTAGGGTATATACCCTAACACTCTTTGCTTTTTTATTGCTTTCTAAAAGACGGAAATGATGTGTCTTATCTCCAAAGCATTGTCCTTCAAGATCGGTGTTTTCACTTTTGTATTAGTAGTGTGATTTTGCTACCTGCACCCTGCACTCGCCTGCACAAAATGTTGGCCAGGTTTTTTTGATATGATCAAATGCAGGCCGGATCAGCAGTCAGACAGGCCTTGCATACATCACTGAAGAAGAAAAAAAAGGAATAACAACACATCCGAGCGCGTTTCCTAGTTTCAGCGCTGTCACTCGTGTGGTCTCTGCCCAGAGGTAATTCAAGCACCGGCCTTAAACCCATCTCTCCCCGCGCCTCACAGACAGCAACAGGGTGACAGCCCAGATTTTCAATTATTTGCCCTTTTCCACTCAGGTCTGTCAGTGCACAGCATACTGTATATCACATGCAGGCTTTCCATGGCCTGTGTATGGAAGCAATTCATTTTAAATCAGCAGAATTACGATTCTGTCACGTTGTTTAATGATATATGCACTCACTCAAATAGTATATTTGCTTTATGCTGGCTAAAAGAAACCAGGGAATGGCTGGGTAGCCTGTTCCAGACCCACACAATACTTACTTACTAATGGTACAGGAACGTATCCTTAGAGCACCATAGCAACATCAGGAGGAGAGTCTGCAGAGTCAGAGGTGTTATTCCTATTATTATAATAGCTGTGAATAATGACTAGTTCAGAGAGGAGGAGCAGTTAGTGACCCTTGAGATACTGGGTCTTCATCCCCCACACCAGGCAAGACAAAGACCATTTATATAAAAATTGAATTTTCCTAAAAGAAAACAGCTTTCTTTTGATTTCATTTTGACCTTGTCAAACAATACATTTATCTGCAATTCGGTTTTATTTTTTTTCTAATGCTTTGCACAAAAAAATCTCCCCACTTTTTTTTCCAATGAGCCACCATTCTTTCATCTAGCCCTTATTCTGCAATTTCCCGCCAGTGTGCAAAGCCTTCATCACAAATTCATGTGACCGGCAGAAAACCTAGATCTGGGTATTTTGAAATCATGGGTTGGTCTAAATGAGGAAGAATGAAAAAAATAATTTCGTTTGTTTATAACTCCTTGTTATTTCTATGTAAGAAAGCCAAAAAATAATCATTTTGTTTTAAACTGTGCAGGAAAGTACTTATTAATAAATGGTTTGATTAAGTTCCAAGTTTCAGACCTTTCAAAACAATTGTATTTTCTATTTGTATTTCAAAATTAATCAGTTGCCTATTCAAAATAAAGGAACAAGTAATACGTTTATTCCATGCTGAAAAGAGAAGAAAGAAAACTCAACGTTTTGGCTGTGGGACCTTCTTCAGGTGTGTTTTCTGTCTTCTCTTTTCAGCAGGAATATACCTATTACTTGTGCCTTTGCAGCCTACGCATGCTGACGCAGCTCCACACCTGAACTATTCAAAATAAATAATAGCTATAGTATTGGATATTCAAATATACATTTTTTTAAGTTAAATAATACAGAGAAATCTTAACATTTCTGGAGGCTGACATATGAGAAGAGCTCAGGACACATTGTAAAGATCAAGACTGCCAAATCCAGCTGCATTCAAATGAAGACCACTCTTTAGGCTGATTAAACCAGCAATTTTTGAGCTTATTATTTTCAGTCCTCTAAGACCATGTTTAGATACTGGTCTGCCCATGATTCCTAATAGATTTATACCCTAATAGCAGTAATGCAAGCATTTATCTGTATTATGATTCACACAATGCAGGACCTGAATAGCGATTTTTTACAGTCAATTACAGTGCATGTGTGATTCCTTCTGTTTAAAGAAGCTTTAATAATGTGTGCAACATGACCACATGCACTCTGCTCTGTGCTGAACACAGGTAGTTGCCAAGGTAACGCATTTTCTTTCTGACTTACCCCAACAATTTATTGCCCATCATTATGTATTATTAAAAACATACATATTAATGTACATGAAATAGTCCATTGAAAAGAATCACCTGAAAAGCCTTTCTTTATGCATAAAGGTTCTCATTCTTTACCCTTTGTCTCTGTTTAGTACTATAGCAGCTATACAGCACATTTCAAACCAATATTTTACAAACGAAATGACACAATTTACTGTACAATATAGCTATTGGATAATCCATCCTTTTTTTCTAGCCTGGCTAGACAAACCACACTAAGCATAACCAATCCGACATCACTTCCAGATTACTGTCTTGAACAATTTACTGTTATCAGGAATGCACACATTATAGATGGAAGATATTTAATGTTTAAATTAAGTCTGATGTTTTATTCTTTTGACATAGTCAGGCCATGCTGGAAACCAGATTGTTCTATTTGTTGTAATCTTAAAAATAAAACCATGAATTATAGCAAACCACTATTTTGAGAAGAAATCTCATTCCATATTCTACAATGGCTAATGTTGCAGCAGCCTAGCAAGTGAGGCCATTAGAAAAGTTTGGATAGAAGTCTGAGGATTTCTTACAAAACTAAACAGCCTAAACCACTTAACTGGGTCTCAGTATGTAGAATGATGGCCCAAAAAATATTATACCAATCACCTCATTTAAAAACGAAATGAATATCTAGATTAAGGCAAAATCACATTATGGATGAAAGTACAAAGTAGTGTTTCCTCCTCCACTGTTTGGACAGGGAGTTGAAAAGTTAAACTTGCAAATCCGGAAATATGTTTCTATTAAACAACCGCATTGTGTCTAAACAACTAAAAATGAAATTTTAATTTTTTTTATTTTGCTTTTTACTTTTTGCTCTTTTACTTTTTAAAGTTTTTACTTGTCATTCAAATTTACTTGCCATAAAGAAAACATGACCTCTATATTTGAACAACAACATGTTTAAATCATTAACACCAGTTTACAGCAGATGAAACGGGGTCTCTTCTTTGGAAGTGCTGAACACAAAAGGAATGGATTGTAAACGGCAACATGAGACAACAACTGAACACCTACTTGCGCAGAAACGATCTAAGACCTATTTGTCAAATTCAACCTGTCCTGAAGGAAAACAAGACAAGAAGAAGTGACCATAAATCTAAACAGAGACGGACGTTCCTAAATGATGATGACAAGTGTAATTCCACGCAGAGAAGTAGAAAGAAGAAACGCAACGTTTTGGCTGCTGAGCATCCTCAGGATTCTTCTTCCTACTTGTCAGTGTCGAATTAACCTTTACTCCTTCATTCGCAGCTGCTGACACAGCCCCCTGCCCCACTGTCATCATCACTTGGGGTGGCCAAACTCTCGCAGCCCCCTGAAGCCTGTTGTGTTACCACTTCCCTGTTCCGCACGGCCACTTGTGCTGCAGTTGCCTAGAGACAAAGACTGTGATGTCTGAGGTCGCTGTGCTGTGAGGTCTCTATTAGGAAAGAAGGCACAATACAGCCTGCCTGACAGTCAAGTCCTCAATTATGTTTAATTCAAGCCAAAGCTATTCCTGCCAGCGTGGGCTATAGCGAGCATCTGGGCTCACAATCTCGGCTTTGAATGCAGTTTTAATTTTGCCCCCAAAATTGAGCGGCCTGCTTACTTTCATACCCAACAATTACAGAATTTGGAGGTCAGAAGGACTTACCCATCTTTTGTCTGATCCACAACCCCTGCCAGCAGCTCCACAGCCTTCAGGGACAGTTTCATGTCCGTGCGCGCATGAAGAAAATGAGCCACGAAATCTTCAGGGGACATGAACCGGTCATCGTTTTTCTGAATACTTGCATACTGCAAAGGAGACACAGTAAAGACAGGTGATTTTTTTTTCTTTTCGCTATATTCAGTTCCTTTCAGATCTTTCCTGCATTATTGATATTTTTACACAGGTTTTAAGCCAGCTGTAATTAAATCCAGCACCTGCTGATCAGACAGCCAAGAGCTGCCAAAGAAAGACTGCAGCTTGCAGAGGGTCCTCAGCATTGTGCAAAAGTAAATTAGTTCTGTGTCTAAACAGGAGCCTTGTCGGAGCTCAAGTTAAAAGTCTTACAATTCTTAAAAAAAGCACTGAAATACTGGTGATTCTCTTAATATAGGCCTATATATTAATTGCAGTTCAAACTATAGCAACAATGCTATAAATGTTTTAAAAGGAGAAATAAAAAGCATGTTGAGTTAAACTACATAAGCATTTCTATTGCATTCTATTGAAGAATTTAAAATGATGGTGTGGCCACATCACGTGGACATTTAGTTACAGTGCAATCTCATACATATTAATATTAAAACATATTAAAAATGGGCAGCAGGATTATCATGTTTTTGCACAACACTTTCGGACCCATGAAATTTCAGTCTTCTGCTTGAGTGTCTGCTTCAGGCTCTGCACAATACACAAGGCCAAACAATCACCAGCTCCAGCAGCTGTGTGTGCTCCATTGTTTTCCAGTATTTCCACATTAAGGCAACTGATGTTTAAAGATGGGTGAAATTACTCAAAAGGCATTAAAATGTGTATTATTGTCAGGCTGTCACACAGCTACAGTATTAAACTGCAAAACTGTATACAGTATATCAGCTGAAACATTTCTTCACCATTGTAAGTACTCGATGTTATTACCTACCTTCAAAAATATGGACTTCAGCTCAGCTGGATCAGCTCGCTTGGGTAAAACCACCTGCAAAAGTCAACACCATAATCTTCAAAACCACAGACTAGATCACCAGTTTGTATTTAAGTCATTCACCCCAAAAGTAATGTACTTAACTCTTTGTACTGTCATTGTGAAAGCAGCTCCTTAAACCCACATGATTTCAGATAATGATTGGTTTATATACATGCATTTAATCTGATCACTTCACTCCCTAACTAACTACTGTAACTAACTGACTGACTAATCTGACCACTTCACTCCCTAACTGGCCTGGAAAAAAACAAGTGGCACACAAAATACCCCGATGCAAACTGTCTGATACTACAAATTACTGAAAAATATTAGCAATGTTTTATGTTTCATGATATAAATTAATATTACATTGATTGGCAGTTGCATTTTTAATTTCAGGATAATTCGTGGCATGTCGTTTACCATACAGTGTCACGGGAAGCCTACCCGGCAAGCAACGAGCGCAAGGCAGGGTTCAGCCTGGGTGGGACGCCAGTCCATGGCTGGGCCAGTGCAAGCCAACCACACATGGGGACACTCTGGAGGCCACAGTAAAGGCCGAGGGGGGAAATTTGGCCTGGAGACCGGGATAACTCCCTACTCTTCTCGAGAAATGCCCGGGGATCTTTAATGACCCCCAAGAGTCAGAACCTCGGTTTAACGTCTCATCCGAAAGACGGCGCCCACTACAGTATAGGGTCCCCGCCACTATACCGGGGCATTAGGACCCACACAGGCCCTCTGTCGGTCCCACTAACACCACTTCCAGCAGCAACCAGAGCTTCCCAGGAGGTCTCCCATCCAGGTACTGACCAGGCTCAGCCTTGCTGAGCTTCAGTGGGTAGCCAGTTGAGAGCTGCAGGGTGATCTGGCTGCTGGATAATTAATGCATCATTTCTAATTAACGTATTAAATTTAAATTTTTAATTTCAAATTCAAATTAAAGAGGTTTTCAAGTTTGGAATGGGAACTGAAAATGCTCGCCTGTCTTTTGTGGCACAGTGGTTGGCATTGCTGTCTTGTAGCACTTGAGCCCTGGGGTGCTGTCTGCATGGTGTTTGAACATGTTCCCTAAGTTTCCATGGGTTTCCTATGGGTGCTCCTGTTTCTTTCCAGACTTCCTGAGAGTCTGTGTGTGTTTGTGTCTGTGTGCGCCCTGTGATGGACTGGCGTCTCATCCAGGGTGAACCCCGCCTGAACCTTTCGCTTGCTGGGATTGGCTCCGGTTCACTCATGACCCTGTACTGGATAAAGCAGTCCGAAAATGGACGGACTGATGACCTGTGATGTAGCACACCTGCTTCACCTGTACCTGGGGAATACCTGAGTAATACAGTCTTCTGCAGGTGAGCCATTTATAATGTTAATAGAAAGTAATAAAATGTCTCAACTGTCTGCAGCATATCAATTTAATATGCATCTATGCCACTCAAAATAAAGAGCATATTATATCAGATTATAATTAATCTGAACTCACTACAAATGCTGACAGGCTCAACATTCTTTTTCAAGAAAGTAAGTCTTAACAAGCAACTGTATCAGCTTATCTCACAGAAGGAACTGCAAGCAGTCAGTAATCACAACTGCATGTCAGCTATGCTGTCTGCACAGCTGTCTCCTTCAAGGTTAGATAAACAGGGAAAATAATCAAATACTGGAATAAGGATTCAAAATAATTACAACATAAAAGCAAATACACATAAAACATATATGCCACATCAATATTAAGTCTCTATATCATAATCTATATAAGTGCTGTTAAGTATGTGGTTAACATATTGCCTTTCTGTCACATCATCACTTAAGGCAATCTCAGTTCCATCTATGAATGAACTGATGAATGATTCACTGTGCATCATTTTTAGGCATAAGCAGAGGTGGATACACAAGAATATTTTACTCAAATTCAGTAATGGGCAACTAGAAATGGTTTAAAACTAAACTGTGAACTGATAAAGGTTCCCTCAGTTCTGTTTTATCATCCACTGGGCTAGAGTGACCTTTACAGACTGAGCTTTCCTTTGATCTGCAACTACATTTGGCACCATATCACTGGGGAACTGCTGTTGACTTAGATCTTTCCAACAGTGATGTTATCTGGGCAGCTCCAGAGCATTGCAGCTTCTAGATTACAGACCCATTGACTACCAACAAGTGGAACATTTTTTTACAGGAGTTTTAGAAAAGTGCCCGATGGTTGTGGGCTAACACTTCAAGAACAGAACAAACCTAAGCAAGGCTCATGTTATACGTGTTTGCCTTCAACAAAAGAAGTGCTGGAAGACTTGCACATGGAGCCCAGTCCACTTATACAAAGTCAGCAAAGTACGAGGATGGAATTAAGAAGACATTCCTCTTTCATCCACAGAGAATTGAAAGTACCGCCCCTGTCTAATGTTTTGCCATATCTGCCTTCCTCAGACTGGCCAAAATAGGACCCTTTTATCCATTTTCAGCAACCGCCTTATCCTTAGAAGGTTGTGTCAAGCCCGAGCCCAACCCAGTAAGTTGAAACTATATACTAGGTGGGACACCAGGCCATTGTAGGGCAGCAAAAAGAAAGCTGTACCAAAATAGTTCACTTGTCAGACTACCATGACGTATAAACTGAATGAAAATAAACATTTTTTTATATGTTTAGTGTTATTCATATGCTGTAGCGTTATAATAATTGCTAAATAATTGCTTAAGTGGCTTTAACTTACAACGTGAAAGAACCAGAAATGCTAGTGTGGGGAATACCGCTGTGAACAGACGTACAGCTTTGTACAAGGATTTTAGGGTCGAAAGCTACACAAGACTGTCCTCTGATAAAACAGCAGGAAATGAGTTGCGTGAGTAGCCCAATAACCAGACCTCAATTAAACAGAAAGGATTTGGAGAAATACTTGAAAACAAAAAAGTTTACAGCCGAGAGCAGGTCCTTCAGCACACCGATAGTTAACTGATAGTAGATAACTGATCCTTCTTCAGACCGTTTCTTGAAAGAAGCCCAGGTTTAAGCTTCAACAACATGACGGCGCAGTATGTTACATATTCCCACCCCCCTTTTAGACCCAAGTACTGGTCTAAGTATGAATTAAAAAGGAACAAGTAATAGGTTTATTCCATGCTGAAAAAAAGAAGAAAGAAAAAACTAATTTTTTCCTTCTTCTTTTTTTCCAGCAAGGAATAAACCTATTACTTGTTCCTTTGCAGCCTACGCATGCTGACGCAGCTCCCCACCTGAACTAAGTATGAATTATAAACAAAGCATTAAAAGCGCAAACAGAATGTTATGATACATAGTTGAAATTGCAGGGAAGTGCATTTTAAAGTGAGAACAGCAGGAACGTATATACAACAGTAGCTGTGGAAGTCTATAACAAGCTACCCCACCATGTTATCAAAGCCGACACCCTGGCTTCTATCAGGAAGAGGCTGGCGGAGGTCCCTGGATCAATCAACGACTCACTTCCAAACAAGCTAGAAGGGAAAATGCCCTGCTCCAGTGGTAACCTCTCTCGTGCTCTGTGTTTAATTTACAGTCCTGTTCTGTTTGCTTTTTACCAGTTCATATGACAGCTGTACACAGACAATAAATAACATGCGAAGAGTGGAACAAGTCCCTCATTCTCAGCTCGCATCCCCTTCGGGTGGTATGAAAACTGCAAGATTTAAAAGTTAACAAGCTGCCAAATTCTTCCATAAGAAACTATTATTTAAAAACAGTGCATAGTACTGTATGTTAACTGGCAGTAACAGATTTTTTTTCTTCCATTTTCTGAAACGGCACTTCAAATATTAGTACTTTATATAATGAACTGTTCGTCTAGCCTCACCCTCTTCATCTTGGTTTTATCACAATTAAAATGTGAAAATAATGACCCTCATGATTTCAAATTGTCCCTTAAAAATTGCGGGGCATCACTGCAATCTGAGGAGATTATCAGAATATATCTACAGTATGCGACACAACAGAGAGATGAAAAACTACCCTAGGAGCTTCACCAGGGTTTGTTCAGCTGTTGACCCAAGACAATAAAACTCTGTGCTTGATTCCCCTGCCTCAGCCTTTCTTCAATCATATGGAACTATTTTCAGTGTCTAGGGCAGGGGTGTCTAGTTCTCCTCCTGAAGGCCCTGTGTGACTGTGGGTTTTCATTCCAACCCAGCACTAAACCAGCTAAACTATCTGGTTACTGGTTTAACCGGACCGATTTAACAGCTTCTCCCAGCTCTTCAGGTACTGCTGGTTTACAGAGAGCTGAAATCCTCCTGACCCTCCAGGACCAGGGCTGCTCATTCTTGCTCCAGGGCGACACTAGCCTCACCTCAGCTCTGACATTTCAACAGACATGTTCAAACTTGATGGATGCTTTCATGGGTGTTTCAGGCTGATAAACATCAAAACACATCTCCCAACACCCACCACAGTTTGGAAGCTTAAAGAGTGTCTGGCAGGGACAATCTTTGGAAGTGGTCACTCCCTTGTCCTATTTTAAATTGACCAAGCTGTTATTCTGAAGGTTTTTTTTTTCCCTTGGAGAAAGAGAATCTTTGCCAAATAAATTCAAGACAACAATATTAACGTCTAGGGACCTACAACCCCTAATGCAAAACCATTGAACCCTTTTATTCCCGAATCGTATAGCTCTTTCCTGAATAACTTTGTAAATCAAGTCCTGGACGGTATGAGTACAGGAGACTTACCCTGTCACCGTGCCGGCATTGTCATTCCAAAGACAACACCACACGTAGGACAAAAAAAACAATACACACATCTGAATTGCTGTGCATCGTGTAGCATTTCGACTGGGTGCCAAAAATAAAAACCAAAACGCTCTGCAAACCTCATAACGCCAACACCAGTACACTGTATGCTACAGTATATTCACAATGTGACCTGATGTCTCAGTACAATGTCATTGAACCCAAACTGCACAGCATCCTCTCGGGCGGATGTAAGCTGCGTTCGTGCCTTTCAAAATGAGACTTACTGGTCTCGCGTGTTAAAACAGCAACAGCTGATG